AGCAACACACAAACTGCAGTGAGAAACACTACTCAGCTGATGTTCCTCAGGAAGGAGAAAAATGGGGTACTGTGATGGAACAGTAGGATGACAGAAAGGACACAGCAATACACTACCTGAAGCTGGAGAATCAAAGCCCTATCTACCTCATGTCCCTACTGGTGCACAGACTGTAATTCAAAATGCATGATAATGAAAAAGTTCCCTCTATACATCGGTACTAACTGGGAACTTTTGATATTTTTTTAAAAGTCAAATCTGTTTTTGATAAGCTCATTGACTCTCCTTGGGTGTGACACACACAAACAGATTTTGGAAAAATAATTTCAGAGTGAAGTCTCCTGGGCTGTTCAACAGATGAACTGCATTGGTATAGCAGGGTTATTATGTCTGATTATCAAATCCAGAATTATTCTCCTACAGTTAAGCTGATCCACTTTCCAGTTATCTTTAATCTACTCACCCCCAAGTCGGCGATAAAGGCAGCATCAACAAAGAGATGCAGGATATTAAAGAAATTCTCAATTTAATTTTGCTGGCTAATGTAGAATATTTTTTTGTTGTATCAAATTACTCCAAAAGAGAAAGCTATTTTACAAGAGGATTAAACATTATAATAACAAAGTCAAACAGAGGGCTGTTTACCTTTTCCTCTCTCACAGTTCCTAAGTTTAATGACAGCCTAAAGACCACATTTGTTCAAATTTAAACTTTGTTTATTTTACCCGTGTAATTGCCTAACCTTCAAGGCATGATCACACCAAATATTTTTAAAGAACACTGAATTTGACTAGCTCTACCTTCACTGAGAAGTTATATATGCCACATCTAATATTAAAAAATCAATGTTTTTTAACAGTTGATAAGAAAGAGAAATAAGTTTTTCTAACAGTTATAAATAACTGCCTAGTAAAATGCATTTATTTCAGTCCTCTAATGTAAAGAGTCATGAGCTGAGACTGGATTCCTTATGAAAAAAAGATGCTACTGTTAATGTACTTGCCTCCTTTTAAACAGGTTTTGTTGTCACTTAACGTTTATGTTGCCTTTTTTTCAGTTTAGTCTCTTCCTCACAAATTTGAGGCACAAGAGAAAAACCTAAGTAAATAAGGTCTGGTAAGTTGCAGTTGTGTCTAGTGTCATTTGGGAAAAATAAATATTACAAGAGAGATGTCATTAAGATATTATGGGGTAAACTAAATACCCCCAGAGGCTACCTCACAGCTGCGGTGGAACACCTGGAATAAAAGGAAGATAGACAGAATCACAGTGTCAAACAACAAATTCAACCTTGGAACAGCTTGATTTGGCCAGCCAAAAGCATCTCGGCGCAGAGGGAATCGATACAGTTTAGTGCCTCTATCTCCATAGTTTCCGTTGTGATTCAATGACATTTATTGCTACTTTTGTAATTGCTTGCCCTCTAGCAGGAGAGCGTCACAAGTAAACAAACACAGCTGTACACAGCACTGCAGCACTGCCCCATCCTTCCTCACAACACAGCTGTGGTATTGTTATCCACACCCACTTTCTGAAGTCTTCTATGCATCAGACTAACCAAAGCGTAGTTTACATTTTCATTCACACAGTTGTATTTACCCCAAGGTGTTCCTGAAGATCACAGAAATTCAATGCACGCAAATCTGCCGGTCAAATTCCTTTTTAGGAAATAATGCTGCAAACCAAACTTTCGAAAAGGATAATAAATGCATCACACATAGTTCTGTGAGTAAGAAATAGAAACTTGGAGTTAACACCGAAGGGGGGATGACAAGAATTTTCAGTGTGGGAAAGGCTCAAAGCCTCCCTCCCTGGGATGCCTCTCCCCCAAGTAGGCATCATCTCCACACAGGATCCCAAAGCCCATCCAGACCCAAAAAATCCCATAAGATTTGTTCTTTTGCTAGTGTCTCTTTTTGAAGTATCAATGTGATAAGTGAGGAGACGTGCATATGACTAATGTGGTAACAACACAAAATCTGGAAGCAGAATGTCAGAAAAAATATACAAATATTTGCTTCATGATTTCTGCTATCAACAAGAAATTCATATTGTTTGTGTGATTCCCCTGTAAGAAATATTTTTTCTGATTTCAATTTTTATAAGAACTTTGCTTATTCAGTAGTTTTTCTCAAAGTGAAAGGAAGATCCATTAACGTCAGAACTGGATTTAAATTTTAAACTAGTTCTATTCCAATGCAACTTTGCTATTTTCAGTTAAGCTACATGTGATTTTATAAAATCACAAGGTAATTTTAGAATCACAGAATCATTTACAATAGTTTAGATAAAAAGAAAATCAGGGATGTGCAAGGAATTCACTGTACTGGGGCTTTCATTGGTGTGGAGACTTCAGGAATAAACACAGCTACTTGTAGTTTTTTAAGAGCAATTTCATTTTGGAAAAAGCTCCCAGAGATTTCAGATCTTACTCACGAGAAATTTTACACTATTGATCATGACAATATTGCTGACTTTCATGTGAACAGGGAATGATGAATGTTTTATAACACTACAAAATTTCAAAACCCTAATAAGTATTACAAAATTTTAGTTACAGTCTTGCAAAACTATCAGCGTAAAGAAACCTATTTGTCACTGATGTCACCTGAGGCATTACACTTATATTACAATTATATATGACAGTACAGAAAACACAGTGTTGCAATTGCTTTGCTAAGCTAGGAATTATTTTGTAGCTCTTTCTAAGAGAACCAGTTTAAAGATCTGGCAGTAAAAATAAATACATGTATTTCTTTTTTTAAAAAAGGAGTTGAACAGATTTACTTTGTGTTTTGGGGTTTTTTTAATCACTTTTCCCATAATCAATATGTAAATTGGTTCTGTAACATACATATCAAGGGAAGAAAATCTGTAGAATCTGCTTGTAATCTGGCAAACCTTCCCAATGGTGAACAACTTTGATTCCATTCTGTTCACCAGGGTGAAGATGTCACAGAGTGGAAGAGGTGATCGAACCTAAAACATGGAGCCAGGCTTGTGCTCTTGCATGTCTCCCACATATTCTAAAAAGTCACCGCAAGATCCTCCACCAATAGTATTGTTCCATTTATTTCAACACTTAAATAAATTAATTTGACTTCCTTTAGATGACTATACTCAGAAAATACGGATTTCAGCTTAGGAGTAATTTTTTTCTCTGCAGATTGTAAAAATGAGCAGAGGACGACTAAAATGGTTAGAGACATGTACAGAGATGATGCCTACATTTTGACATTCCACTATGGGAGCCAAATATTAAGTTTCTCAACAAATGACCAAAACTCTATGTCAGCAGAATGCTTGCCTGCATGTAGCAACATATGTTTGAAATAAGACGCAATTTTCCTGCTTTAAATGAGCTGCTAAAATACGATGAAGTGGGCAGGAGATGTGACCAGAATGTCACAGTAACACTGCTAGTTGCTGAGCAGATATCCGTGTAGGGGCATCAGCCCATGTCAGGTACTGTGGGGTTGCCCTCAATGGAGCCAGGCAGTGCCGAGCAGTTCTCATTCTGTGGTCAACTCTGCACTTGGTCCAAGAGCAAGAAGAGCAGAGGCTGCAGCAGCTCCTCACCTCAGTGCTTCTCCCTTTTCCGTCATGCCCTTCCCGTGCCAGCCTGATCTAGCTACACTGCCCCATGGGCATGCTGTCTTTCCCCCATCTTTCAAATTTTCCCTTCAACTTCATTCCCTCAGAATGGCTACCTTGGTAAAGTTATCCCGTTTCCTCTAACCACACAACTCCCCTCAGCTGGTAGGTGAGCTGGTTTAAACTGTTTACTTTGGCAAACTGGTGGCCCCCCTCATTCAGCAACACGGAGAAGGACCTCTAAAAGCTTAATGTTAGTGAACACCGAAATATCTTGCTGGAAACTGGAATGAGGTAACAGCGGTCACACTGGTTAGTCTGGACAGGGTCTGGATGGTTCCTCACCTGTCTCAAGTATGGGAGTTCATGACAGGAGAGACGGGAATGAGAAGGATGAGAAAGAAGGGGATCCTGAGATTACCTACATGAAAACTGGAAACCCCTGCTGACCCACTTTGCATCTTTTGTGACTGAACTACGAGGAAATTAGGTGGAATTGAAGCCTAAAGGTGATTTAAAAGTTTCATATAAGCATCTCTTTTCTTTAAACAAGTGACTACTGTTTCTCCTTGTAAAGTCCTCTGAAAATCAGCTGTGATCTTATAAGGTCACAATCTTGAAAAGCTAGACTCACAAGGTCTGTATATTTTTGGCTGATGTAATGCTGGCATACAACTACATAGAGACATGGCTGCAATTTGATCAAAAACAAGGCAGGAAAATGAGAAGGTGTATGGCTAAATTTTAATGAAGGTATGCCGGTAATTTAAAAATCCAGGGTTTAGGTGTGCCTTGGAACACACTATATGAATTGCAAACTCTGGTTGAAATGGATTTTGTAGTTTGGTACATATGCATTTATTCTGCATTATGGGACATGCATGTGATTGCTTGCATCTAAGTATGTGTCAATCTTGAAAATTAAAGGCAATTAAATATGAAACTTCCCAGTTAGTCTCTTACTTATATTTTCCAGATACATTGTACAAAGCAGCATCAAAATAAAAAGAAGAGTCAACTTAAGACTGTAAATGTATATATCTCCCTGGACTATGACTCAGGTTCTACCGCATAGTCTGTTTCCCACCTTCCTGAGGCAGATCCCTGAGCTCAGTACGAACACAGCTCCCTCTAGAGCTTGAGTATTAGACAGAACTACAGCACGCACCGCTCTGGCTCCGAAGCTTGGTTAAACTGCCCAGACAGGGAGCACCGTGATAGCCACACACATCCCAGAGGGGCCAAGGAGCCTGGCACAAAGGCTGAGATTCAGAAAATCCTTTGTCAGAGGCAGATTCACTGTTACCAGTTAAAACCTTTCCGATGTGAGCTTGTAGGAAAAGGGTTAACAGGCCCCTGATTTATGGAAGAGGAGAGGTACTAAGCCCTGAACACTTGAAACTTACTTGTGTCCAGTGTGACAGGTGAGCCTTGAGAGGGTGCGCGTTCTTACGGCGTGAGGGAATAGAGGATGTCTGAGAGCACCAGTGTCCGACGTTCTGTGTGGAGAGGCACGGACTGACATATTTAGCCCTTCGGAACGTACAGGATCAAAGCTAACTAACCCAACATCACTTCTGCATGACCAGCTGCCCCACAGAGCAGCCACTTCCGAGCTGGGGTGCTGTTTGCCCCTTGACAGCCAAGCCAAAGGTTGGCAGGGGATGAAGCTGGTTATCCAGTGGTGCCCAGTTTCACCACTATTCCAAGAGGGGAAGCGACGGGCTGCACAAGTGTATGGGGACACCAAACGGGCAGGGGGCACGGACCGCAGGCACGTCCAGGTGTGCCCGGGGACGTGGTTCCGGGACTGGAGCCCGGAGGGCACGGCACCCGTCCCTCAGTGCTCCTCTCCTCACGGCTTTCCTCGAAGATCCCCCGCTCCGCTTGCTCAACCCGGGCGCTTCCGCCGCCCACACTCCCTGCCCCTTGGTCCCGCCGGCCCCCGCCGCTCCCACCGCCGCTCCCACCGCCGGCCGCGCCGGCTGCCCCGCGGGAGGCGCCGCGGTCCCCGCCTCTCCCCGACCATATAAGCCAGCACTTCCCGCCCCTCCGCACTCACCGCCCTCAGACCCGCCGGGACCCGCCAGATCCGCTCTCCGAGGATGCTGCGCTCCGCCGGCCCGGCACAGGCCCTGCTGCTGAGCGCCCTGCTGTGCCGCCTGGCCGCCGCCGGTGCGTGACGGACCGCGGGGCGGAGGGACGGGGCGGGACGCGGGGGGATCGGCGCCGGCACTCGGTCCCTCGGACCCCTCGGACAGGGTGTCCCCGAGGGAGCCCGAGAAGAGCCGCGGGAAGGCGGGCAGCGGCACTGGCCCCGGGGCCACGGCGGGACAGCGGCGCTCACACGGGCGCTCCCCCTGGGACCGCGGGACAGCGGCGCTCACACGGGCGCTCCCCCTGGGACCGCGGCGGCCCCTGCTCGGACCGCCAAGGACTGGCTTCTTCTGGGGGGTTCCTCGCTGTCCACGGCCGGGGCGGTGCTGGGAACCGGGGCAGCCTCGGGGGTCGGCAGTTGCTGTAAGGTTGCAAGATTTCCTCCCCTTGTCCCCAGCTCCGAGCTTGCCGAAGAGGTAGAGAAGGTGGTAAACTGAGAACAAGTTCTTCCCAATCTGCTCAGTTAAACCCTGGATTTCCAGAGTTTACAGGGGCGCGAGGGGTTTTCCCACCCGGCTTCCTCCCAGGCAGTTCCCCGAAGCAGCTGTGGCTGTCATGGGTCACCGCAGCGGCCTCCCATCCGCCTGTGGGTGCCACGAGTCCTGGTGAACTGCACCACATTTATTTGGTGCTTGAACATTCTCATGTGCATCTTCAAGCTTTTGTATTGTCTTCAGAGGTCTGGAATCAAAAGAGGCTAATTAGACAGAATTACAAATAAGTTAACTCATCGATTTCAGAGTTGTAAGACAGAAAATAATATTCTCGTATTTCTCACTTCTGCCAGGGCTCATTCCTTTAATAAGACAAGCATGAGCCCAGAGGATAGGACTGAGCAATTTCCTCCAAAACAACTTTTCCAAGTAGCAATTAACAGCAACTGCTTCATTTAACTAAACAACAACTGAAGGGAAGCAGGAATTACATGCAATATGACTGATATTTTTCTCTTTTCTGTATTTAAAGACTATGCAGCACTACCGACAGCAGTCAATATAACTTGGTCTTCAATCAATTTTAAAACTATACTACAGTGGCAGCCAAAACCAGCAGGTTACTTCTATACTGTAGAAATACATGGGTAAGTAGATAACACCAAGGCATATCCATTAATGGCATCGAAGAAGATGCAAATAAGAGCGTGTTTGAATATTTCTGAGAGTAAATGTAACAGGAAAAGAGTCCAAACATTAGGATTTAGGAGAATTACCAACCCAGCTGTTAATAGTTCTTTGTATCCAACTATAAGGATATGTGGTTGAGGCTTCTGGTTTTGCTCACTCTAAAAAATGGAGAGTTGAGCTAGAGATCAGTATTTCAGTTCTGGGGGGTGGTACAGGCCAACTGCATGAGAGGTCTAGGCCAGGATACTTTGTAGAAGTTGATGCTCAATCTCACATACCACATATTAGATAGAATTTCACCTTTTTTATGTTTTTCAAGGTGTCTAGTCTGAGTCTTTTGTCTTCAGTCTAGGGAGGTGTCTAATAAATGAGTCTGCATTTTATTCTAATTGGTGAATCATGATAAATGAATAATTTATCTTGCTGTATAATACTAAAAATCACCTTTATCTACCTCTGCCAACACTTCCTCTGTCATCATGTTTTATGTAAGCTATAAAATATTGTAGACATAAAAGGTAGCCAGCTTATGTAAAGTGTCTAACACATCTTTCAGAACTGCACGAGAACTTCCATGAAGTTCAGTAATAATTGTGTATTGTTCTTAACTTCCATTTTAATATATAGAGCATTATTAAATATGTCTCAAAGGGAAAATGCATCATCAAACCTCCTACATATTAATGAAAAAGTGGTACTGCAGTCTCTTCTGTCTCTAAAAGTGGCATGAGAGCTCTCTCATGACTAATGGATGAAATACCAGTGCAATGGCCCAACGTGCTCTTTCATTCTTTAAGGGAGTGATTAGATTAGCAGACTTAAAAGCACACACTTAGCAGAACAAAATTTTTTAAATTCATGAATCTGGAGTTTCTTTCCAGGGATTTTGCTTGCAAAAAATTGAAATCTGTTTGCCCAATATTCAGTGTAGAATCAGGTGTAGTTCTGCAACAGAAGCACCTCTTTAGGCAGGTTGCTGTTCCAGAGTAAGTGTGCTTAAATGTTTGCTTTCTCATGTCTGTACATTTACAGAGTACCTTTGTTTCATCACAAAGATCAAATCTCTGCCCCTTTTCAAAGCATCTCTTGTGACACGATCAATAGCTGATCTGCGACATAAGAAATCTGGTGAAGTGAGAAGGGAGTTCAGGTGACTCTTGAAAATAAAACTTGACCTATTCTGAGGAAAACCCATTTATTAATTTCAAAAGTCAGCACTCTTGCTCTTTCAGCTGAGATCACACAATTTTTCTTTTCCTTAATTCACCAGCAACAAAAAAAAAAAAAAAAAAAAAGGAGGAAAAATGGAGTAAAAGTTTTTTTTCCAATCCTTCTCGTTAGGAAGTCTGGTCTCATTACTAGTTCTCAAGTAAATGGACCTGCTTTCTATTCTTTAAAAATCAAGATAAGCATTTTTTGTCAGTATCTTTTAAATCACAAGTTCTGCAATTAAATCACAATTCTGACATTTGCTGCCACTGTCTGGTTCTTAGTGACATTTGCCACTGTATAGATGCAAAACCAAGTGACATATATGTGGAGACATTGTTGTCACATTAAACTGTGTCAATAGAGCTTCCTATAGCAGCTGATGTTTCTTAAGGCAATAGTTCTCACATGCCTCAAGGATAAAATATTCAAAGTAATTTATGCATCTTATATTTTTAAAAATAAATTCTGCAACTGCAAAAAAATGCAAAATCAGAATTACTTATGGTTTCTATCAATTAATATAAAAACTGAATGTTTAATTAATATATGGGTCCACTAACATATTTCTGTCATATGGATCATAGTTACTTTGCTTGATTCTACTTTGAATTGTGAAATATAGCTGTACACAATAGGTTTTTCTGAAGTTTTCTCTTCTCCTTTTCAGCCTAATACCCCTGCAAGACTGTTCTACCAGATGAGGGAAATCTATACAGTTTAAGTGGAAAATGTTTTTCAATTTATCTAAATATGTAAGTGGCTGGTTGGAAACTGTTGACACTTCTTTCTTTCTCTTTTCAGACAGACATCTGACATTAAAAAAAAATGCGTCCTGACAACAGAAACAGAATGTGATGTTACTGATGCACTCAAGGATGTAAAAGAGACCTACGTAGCCCACATACTGTCCGTAATGCCCGCGGGGATGGATAACTTTGAAGAACCACCTTATGCACTTTCTGGAAAATTTACTCCTTATAGTCAGAGTAAGTAGGATTGCCAATTAAATTTTATTATAAACTTCCTTTCAAGATTAGTTCCACTGACTTAAACAGAGTTTAGATTGAGCTTAAAGGTTTTTTTGATAGATTCTTACAGTAGCCATGCTGATAATGGAGAAGACATTCAGTCATAAAGCTTTGTTAACACTGTGTTCTAGATGAAGATACTTGTTTACAATCCAGGACTTAACCCTATTACTTTGGCTTTGTAAACTTAGAATAGATTTGAAATGGGAAGTTAATAGAGAGTGGAAGAAAGAAGAGTATGTTGTGCAGAAGGGATGATGTCAGTTTTTTAACTCTAAAAATCTTTGTTTAGCTGTTATAGGAAAACCAGAGATAAAGAATTATACCCAAAAAGGTTCCAAACTGAATGTCGTGATCAAAGATCCACTTACACCGTATACATTTCCTAATGGAAGCTTTCAAAGTATTCGAGATATTTTCCAGCATGACCTGGAATACAAGCTCTATTACTGGAAAGATCAAAGTTCTGGAAAGGTAAGGTCTAATTCTAGTTTTCATTCTGTAATAATTTGTATATTCTGTAGCTGTATTATAGTTACACAATTTCTGTGCTAGTTGACACTTGAAATATTTTTTTTTCCTCTTTTTAGAAAGATGCGATAACAAAAAGCCCTACATTTGAAGTAAGCGTTGAGAGCACAAAGAACTATTGCTTCTATGTCCAGGGATTCGTTCCATCCCGCAGAGAAAACCGGAATGGCCAAACGAGCGTGGTGCACTGTACCACTGGAGAAAGGGGGATCTTCGATGGTGGGTACTGACTGTTTGTCACACAGTCTTCATCATTCTAACAAAAAGACATGTCTTTAAATTGGGATGCCTGTTATAAACCATTTACTGTGTAAGTTAGAAGACACAGTCAGAACATGGAAACTCATTCGAAGAACTCACTCCAAGAAAGGGTTCACCATCTTCAGCTAGAGTTGATTTTAGGGTTTTGCTCAACTGTGTTGATTAAATTGTCTGAATTGAAAACTGGTCACTGAGGCTTCAGATCTCATCACTAGCCTTCAGCTTTGCTTTTTTCCCTCTGCTTCTCTCAAATCCCTCCAATAGGAGGTCCCATAGTAAGTGCTTGAAGGATTAGCTCTAAAACATACGAGTGCTGGAAACCTATCCCCTGACTTGTAGTTTGAACTGACCTTCAGTTACCCCTAAAGCAGATGGTGAGACTAAGACATTCTTCACTATTACAAGGTCAGAGGTTGGCAGATTGACTTCTTTACTAGTAGATAAGTTAAGGAGTGGTCAGTGAATCAGTCGGTCGAATTTTAGACAATCTGGGTAACATTTTCTTCAATAAAAAGTCATCAATATTATTTAAATAATATCACATTGATGTACTGTATCTTTCTTCTCCCCCAGATGAGAATATTTGCACTCTAGAAAATTTCTTCTAAAATTGGCAAATGAACTCAAATTAACTTCCTTATCTAAATATGTATTTTTGTTTATCACAATAGTGATAAATTACAATTTAATTACAACTTAAATAGAAAACTCTTCTCTTGGTGTTTTCTAGCTTATAACCTAGAATAAATTCCTACTTGGATGGAAATAATGTAGGGACAGGGGGAATGGTTTGACTTATTCTTGTGGTGTTAACGTGGTATTTTAGTGCACTAACTAAACTAGATTAAAACCTAGTGTGAACTAGGTGAAATAAAGCTTTTCTTCAGTTCAGCAAATTCCTGTTAAAATGTTTTTAGTTCATACTGAATTCTGTGGTACTGTAAAATATAGAAAGCATTTTTTCATTCAGTGGAATGAGTGCTAAGAGTTTGTAGCACTGTGTCATTATGGATTCTGATAACTCAATCTTGCAATTTTTTTCTCCCCTACAGAATATGGAGCAGAAGTCTTTATCATCATAGCAGTGATTGCAATTGCAGTCATCACTCTTGCCATCGTCCTGCCAGTGATTCTGTGTAAACGCAAGAAAGCAAGAGCTGCGAGAGAAAAGGAACCACTTAATGGTGTCTAAGGAAAAAGTATTGTGGACACCAGTGGCAGCACCAAGGCAAAAAAATCCACCAAAACAAAAAACCATAAATTGGATAATTAGGTGGAGCTTTTTAGGCTTTCTGAAACAGGAATTATGAAGCCCAAATTTTATGTGGATTAAAAATTCCATTAAGCTGTCACAGATGAAAAATCTAGCTATCAGGAAGCCCCTGTAACATTAGTAGCTGGAGCTGGAGGAGTATTCTGGTGATCTGTTACAATCATAGAATCGTAGAATATGCTGAGTTGGAAGTGACCCACAAGGATCATCAAGTCCAACTCTCGGCCCTGCATAGGATACCCTAAGGCACAAACAGCGTGTCTGAGAACGTTGTCCAAACGGTTCTTGAACTTAGACAGGCTTAGTGCTGTGACCACTTCCTTGGGGAGGCTGTTCCAGTGCCCAGCCACCCTCTGTGTGAAAAACCACCTCCTGACATCCAACCTAAACCTCCCCTGACTTGGCTTCATGCCATTTTCCTGAGTTCTGTCACTGGTCACGAGAGTGAAGAGTCAGTGTCTGTCCTCTGCTTCCCCTCATGAGGATGCTGTAGATGATGGCAAAGAAGTCTCGCCTCAGTCTCTTCTTATCCAGGCTGAACAGAACAAGTGACCTCAGCTGCTCCTCATACAGCTTTCCCTCAAGGCTCTTCACCATCTTCGTTGCCCTCCTTTGGACTGCACACAATACTCAAGGTGAGGCTGCCCCAGTGCAGAGCAGAGCGGAACAATCCCTCCCTCGGCTGGCTGGTGATGCTTTGCCTGATGCCCCCAGGACATGGTTGGCCCTCCTGGCTGCCAGGGCACTGCTGACTCACATTCAGCTCGCCATCGACCAGGACCCCCAAGTCCCTTTCCGCAGTGCTGCTCTCCAGCCTCTCTCTCCCCGGTCTATAAACAAAGCATCTGTCCCGGGTGCAGAATCCAGCACTTGCCCTTGTTATACTTCATATGGTTGGTGATTGCCCATATCTCTAATTTAAGCTCTCTCAGCAGAGAGCTTAACCCTTCTCATAGACTGTTCCCAAGCCCCTTCTATTGTCCTGTCTGAAACAGGACTCTGAACTAAAGGTACTTTTGACTTGATCAGTGTGGCCTTATTGAGCCGGAAGATTTATGGTACAGCTTTACGGTACTTGTGAGGGGAAAGAACACTACTCCTGAAAAATACGTGTCCTTTACCTAACTAAAGGAACATAATTCTGTTTCTGTGAAACAAAACCTGTATTTATCTGCCTTTTAATATTATTAACTGGTGAAATGATCTGTTAGTTCAGATGTGACAAAATTGCTACTATTATTTCTGCACTTCTTGGATAAAATTAACTCGGTCTATTTATCTTTGAATATAGACAATTGAAGGTAAACAAACTGAAACTACTGGTGACTTGTAAGGAACTCTCTTGAAGCAGATACCTGCTATCCATCTGGAAAGTATATCCAGATTACACTACATTGAGAGTTGTACTGACAGGGTAGTCTGACAGATCCAAGTAAGTGTTAGAACAAATACGTTGCAGGCTTTGAGTCAGTAATAACTCACTTCATGCAAGCACTGAATAGGTAGCAGTATTTAGTACATTTTGAACATCATTTTTAACTAAACAGGTGATGGATGAATAGTTTCTGTGGCATAGATTCAAATTGTCTTGGTATTGGGATTTGAAGGTACATGTTGCTTTGTCTTTTAATATTTATTTTATAAACGAGAATCTAACTTTTATACTGGTGATATCTGTATTTATGGTGATAATTTATACTTTTCTAGTGAAATAAAGGTGACTGGAAAAAGAAGACTTCCTTTTCATTTTCAAAACAATGTACAGTTTTTATTCCAGAATTAAATTAAAAATATGTTTAGGAAACTTATTTTGTGACAGCACTGTGGGGAAGCTGCCAGAAGTCTAACTAGGACTCTGCAAAACAGACTACCAGGGCACCTACTACCTGTAAGGATAAAACTATGAGAAGCCACAGTTCACAAGCTGATGAAAGGTTTTGAAAAGTCCTGAGTCACTTTTTGGCTGTCCACTTATGTGAGCAATAAGTCAGGGTTTGCATTCAGAGCTTCTTCTTCTAACGGAAAGCACAGCAGACATCTCTGGATGTATCACGTAGAGATTCCCACAGTGGTGTGTATTCCATTGTATTCATGAGAAGGAATACCTTGCAAAATTAATAGCTCAAACTATCAATTTGTATAGAATTGTATTTTATATTTTTTTATTCCTGTGTTACAGGGATAAATCCATCTATGTATGGATTAAGACTCTGGTGAATGTGTGTGTTTTATGGGGGTTTTCTTTGTTCTTGAATTCCTCTTTTTACAGAGGGAAGAAAACAAACACCACCATTACCCCCTCAAAAAAACCCCATTTACTTAATACCTAATATTGTGCAATAAATGCTTAATACATTTTCTGCTGATGCATAAGCCTTGTATGGAAAAAGAATCTTACAACAACAATCAAAAACACGAGAGCTTGTGGGAGTAAATTTAAAAACATTCCAAAGATGTCATCATTACTTCCCTTCCTTGTGGTGTTCTGCTTCCTCAGCTTCATTCAGTACCCAGCTCAGAAAAGGGAAGAGGAAGCTAATAGGAAAAAGAAAGCCTGCAGATTACAGCATAATATTTATTAAACTAGACCATGCAGTTGCTTGTTATAAACTACATAGAACGATGCTATAAATCATACTTAATTACTTAAAGAGATTTTTGGTTTGTTCTGAATATAAAGGGGGAGAAGGAAGGGGTACGAAGGGGGAAGAAGGTGGGGAAAGAGGAGGGAAGAAAATACCCACTTGCAAACAAGTGCCTTAAATGGCAAAAGAGTGTCCTGTGACTGCACAAGTGCTGGAAATCTGAAGCACTTCTGTCTCCTAGCTGCAGCATGTTATCATCCAACAATGCTGCGTAACCGGAGTCATGGGGCTCACAGATCCTATTTCAACTTTTTTGCTTTTTGTGGAGACAGTTGAGAAAGGGGCTTTCTAATTGCAAACTTCCGCAAGTATCATCCCTTGGGCTGAGCCCACGCAAAATGTTTTACACAGAGATTTTTCTCAGAGTATCAGATTGGGCAGAAGTTGTTGTTGTACCAGTAAAGGTATTGGCAGTAGGGAGAAGGACTAGGTCTTATCTACAACATACATGTAGCCACTTCAGCACTGTATGGATTTAAGATGGAGCCAGACACCCAGGGAAATGATAGAATATAGGGAAGACTTTTCCTATGCAACTAAAGTTCCTGGCTCATCTTCTAAGCAGGTTCCTGTAAGCAAGAAGGTTCCTACTAACGCCCCCAATTCCCCTGTTCTGCTTTGCTCCTTGTCAACCAGAAAAGTTATCCAGCTGTTTCGAGTGCATAAATACATTTGCATCGTTCCATGACACTGTATTTGTGTTCTCTCCTTGTACAAGTGAACATGTAACATTGCATAATATAATAAGCCATTTTGATTTTATAGCACTGCTTTAAAACCTCATTCTTCTTCACATCAGTGAATAAAGGCTGATAACTGTTCTGCTGCTTTTTTGTCAGCACTAACAGCATTACAGACAATTAAATTACTGCCATTACTTAAAATGAACAATGGTACAGGACTTCACAAATGTATCTATGATAGATGTGGCAGCAAACAGCTTAGCTAATCTATTTCTGGCCAACTGAGCTTTCCACTGTGAGAAAGCTGCTGCTGAGAGGCATGTGAGAGAAGAACGTGATTAGAAGCTTAACTTGTATCACTAGTTTGTGACAACTTGGAACAAAGAGTTTCTGCACTGTGAGAATAAACAGCTGTGATAGATTACCCTCTCGGTTCAGTTTTGTAAAGCTGATTATTTTGCAGGTTAATAGTGATTGCCACACAGTTTCAGAACCTTGTAATACACAGTACCAGATCCAAGAGTCAACTGAATAATCTTCTAATTACACAAAATTTATCCACATACAACTAACCATGCTTTCCATAGTCTATGTTTGTCCTGGTGTTCATGTTTGAGAATGACAGGAAAAGAACAACCTGCTAGAGAGGACAGAATCAGGAACTGGCCGGCTGAAAATCCTTTCGCAACCCTTAGGTGTGGTGTTACTCACCATAGCATACACTCCCTGACACAGTACGCCCATTCCCTTAAAAAGAAACTGCCACAAAGGCTGCTCTTCCCTTATTTGGTGATGTGTGCCCTCCAGTGCTCTACAGCAGGACTGTTAAAAAGCTCAAGGAGTAAAGACCATGAGATGTGCTGCAAATCTCTTCCTTACACCATATGATGAGAAATCTTCCCACCAGTGAGATCCTTCTGCTTCTTCTGGCACAGGTTCTCATTCAGCCCACAGAGCCTCTTTCAGCATCCTCCCCAAAAGACCAGAAAGAACATCTTTCCCTATAATTCCTCAGTCTCTAACTGTAGCTGAATCAGTCAAGTCCATAGGAAGATTTCCCTCAGGATGATTTCTTCCATTAAGAGCCGGTTATAAACACAGAGCCACGTTGACTACCTCCAGGGTTTCGCAGCCAGGTCCTGTCTCATATGCCCAATTGCAAAGATTGTGACCATTTCACATCTTGTCAAAAACTGAGCACTGTTGGTGGCACACTTTAGTGACTGGCTTCTGTAAGAAGCTCGCAGTGTTTCTGCTCCTGACTTCCCCTGGCTCCTTTGGTGATGTTTCCATTCCTCTCCCCCTTCTCCTACTCACTTCCATTACCTGTTCTTCCCCAGAGACAAACCCACTGCCTCATTTCTGCCAACAACTGGGCAGGATCATATTTAAAACAAAATATAGCACCTGAATACATCTATATCCCTTAATCACAATCAAGAACATACTAGTATCGTGGAAGCATTTTTTGTTTTACACTCTACAGCTTCACTTGGTCACTGTTATTAAGCCATTAACATTCAGAACATTCGCTAGCACTGCTTTGAGTACCTTCTTATTGCACCTACTTTTTTTAGTGGCTTGTTTAAAATAGCAATGAACTTACTAATCTGAACTTAAAGACTATTCAAAGTTTCAGATCTCATTTACTCCCCCCGATGGATTTTCTTCTATTTTTATTTTCAAATTTTCCACATTATTACTTCAAGAAATATTAAGGTAGCAAAGTACTGTCACTGTTACATTCAAAAAACTATTTCATCAAAAGAGGTTTAATTAAAACCCACCTTCCTCTTAATGGAGGAATATTTTCCCAATGAGATCACATGGTAATTTTTAATTAGTTACTCAGTAGTCACATAACTCAATTAAAAAGCTAGTGTAATAAAACAGCTAGAATGACAAGTGAGATTTTAAAACCTACGCTACTAAGAAGGACTCATTACGCCAGGTAGAAATGTGGGTTTGTTTTTTTTCTTGGAGTTTGTGGATTTTTGTGGTTGGGTTGTTTTGCTGGGGGTTTTTTTGTTTGTTGATTTGGTTTGTGTGTGTGTGTGCATATGGTTTTGTAGTGTGTGGTTTTGGTGGTGGTTTTTTTCCCTCTGCTGCCTTCATACTGCCATCCACTCACACCAACTCACACCATCCACAGACATGATCCTCAGTCTGATTTCCCATCTTTCCCCTTTACTCTTAACACAATCACTTGCTTCTGTAAAGCTCCCAAGAGTGCAACCACACCATTGCATGTCCACACCACCGCAGTCACTACAGCAGTGGGACTGTGAACACCACAGATCTGTTCCTCCTCTGCTCTTCACACTGCAGGTTCCTTACATTGCAACAGTGGCCCTGCACACAACTTCTACTCTACAACACTAATTCTGCAATCTGTGTCAGGTTATTATGCTTCATATGCCTAGAAAAGCTGACCCCAAGTGGCAAAAAAAAGCATAACCAGCACATTAACAACCTAAACATTCCTAAATGGCTAGCACACCAAGACCCACTTCGAATCCAGATTTCACCAACATTTGAAGGAAAAGGGCACATGAAATTTTTTAGATCTTCTCTTTTCTAGTAATGAAAAGTAACAGATATCATTGTGTTGTTCAAACATATTAAGGGCTGGAGCAGCTCTCTCCTCCCAAACACCCCCATCTTCCGTTCAGTACTTCCCTATGACAGGTTTTCCAGGAACCCTGAGTTGTAACATACCCTCTGTTGTCCAATTTTCAAGCACTGCTGGAAACCAGGCCCCAGTTAACAATCCATCAGTACTTATTTACCCATTGTTTGCACTCTTGGTGTTGAAGCCCACACAAAAACCATACTCCCTTCTCCTGACAAACTTCTCCTTTAGTCTCAGAAAACTCGGAAGTAGCTCAGAATTAGGAGATTTTCATGCTGACTGTTAAGCTTCTTACCAGACTTTTTTCCTTAGTATGCTTCAAACAGAAAACAGATTTTTCTTGCTGCCCTTTTAACTCTCAGAAGAATGGACTGAGAACCTCAGAGAAGGGGTTGAAGTCTTCCAGAAGCACTGGAAAATGCTGGACTTCATAAATTCAGAAGCCCTGTAAGTAACATTGAAGCACAAGCTACGTTTGGAACTGTGATAACACACTATCTGTCCATCAGCAAGGAAAAGAAAGGCATGGGTAGGAATAGCTGGAAGGCAGCTGTGTTTGTAACCAGGAGCAAACCCAAAAACATCTTTTGAGGGAAATGATCTCCCACTCTAAAGGCAGTGACAGGCACAAGAAGTCAAAACAGGGCCCTGCTGAGGGGCTGCTTTTCTGTGCCCAGTCTCTCGAACAGGTCATTACACTATAGGACAAACTTTGGGACAATAAGTGCACAGGAACTCCACTGTCCCTCAGACACATCTACTTAAGTATCTTCTATCCCACCAGATGGTGCACCCCAGGGCCTTTTGAGGAAGTTCACAGAGGTAGCACCCTAAGCATGAAGAGAATTTTGTGAACTAACCTCAAGTGGCCTTTCCAAAACTCTCTACTTAGGACTATTATAAATACAAGTATTCTAATAGTGTTAAAAAAAAAAAAAAAAAAAGTGGGTTTTTTTTCAAATGTAGTTAGCATTTGTGGGTTGAAACAGAAAAGTGTATCAATGTGTAGATTTGACCTTGGCCCTTAATTCCCTACTAAGCTCGAAAAAATTTTGCAAAGGGTTCCTGGCTTTTCAGAGTTCTGTTGCAATAAGAAGCCTCCAGCACACAAGCCTTGCTTTTTAACCATTATTTTTCCTAAACATATCAGCTTATTAACTCCTCTATAGATACTTCACCTTTTAGTGTGTTACCAAGTCTGTCACATGAGTAGCTTCTGACACAGCTGTTTAGCTCTGCTGCTTTTGTGGCAACAAATGCCTGCAGTAGAGTGCTACAATAAAAAAATAAAGGGTAGGTTATTTTAGGGAGCACCTTCACACGACTTACTTTGTCACGATTCACAACAAATAAAATTAATCAAAATTTTTTTAGCACCTGCTTGCACTAAACCACTCAGTCTAGGAAGATTAGAGATACATTTGGTTACATAGAAGATGTCTCTTGAACTGCACACATGGAGTGTATTTTTCAGAGCATCATTCCCCAAAACTTCTATAATCAAGCTTAAAAAGTTAGCTTCAATTTGTGCCATACTTTGAAGTTATTTTAATATAGAAACTTGCTCAGTCATGTAGGTGGAGTTCCCTATTTCTAACCAAGGAAATCAATCCCAGCAGTTTTAGTTTCGTCTAGACAGAATTGACCTCATTTTTCCAGTTCTGTTCTATTTTGGTGCAGCACCATATGTAGATGCCACTTGTCTCCCAAGACAAGGGATGGGTGGGGAATAAGGATGCTGGTTTGTGGACAGAGCAGGGAATGGGATTGGGAGCTACAGCAAAAGTGCTCCTTTCACCAGTAAATGAGTTCAATCTTCATGGTTCAGACTTGTCAAATGTCACAAAGAGGGAGGTTTCTAACCAGTGTAAGAGAGTTTGTGATTATTAAGCCTGGTTTATGAAAGATACATTCCACATAAGTGGAGTGTCCAAGTTTCCCTTCTCTCCCTTTTTAAAATGCCAGTTGGATGATTATTCTTGCACTGTTGCATTCATTTCAGGATTACTGGCAAAATGTCTTTAGTTTCCCAAGTCTATCCCTGGGGAATGTCACCAGATGCTTAGGAGTATTATTCCTATTTAATCCCCGAATTTATCATATTTTTCAAATTACTCCCTTGAAATTACTCCCACAGCTTCTGTCTGTGAAGTTCCAAGATGCTTGTCACCTGGCTCTGCTTTTGAATACAAGGAGAGAAAACGATGCAGCAGTTCAAAGACTGCTTTAAATTTTTCTAAGGTTTTAATACAAAAGACAAGTTGCTTTCATAGTAACCTAGCTTGGCTATATTTCTGTTTCAAGATGAATCATAGAATGGTTTGAGTTGAATGAAACCAGTTTCATCAAATGTTTGAATACACATGACAGGACAGGTTTCATCAGAAGATATAAACAAACATATTATAGGAACCTGTAACGTGCACAGCCACTCTAAACTTCCAGGTCAAGTTTAGGGCATCATAATAAAAACCTTCAATATGTGAAGGGAAAAAACCCAGCAAACCTCCTCCTGACACAGCTGTGTATCACTGCTTAGTAAAATCAAGAAACCTCCTTCCATGCTCATGAAAGGGACTGGCACAAACCATCTGGTTATCTACACCTAATATAGAAGCAAATACTTGTTTTGAACAGCAGTTTTATAAGCAGAAATTTCAATTTGCACACTGTTGATTTTCTTGACAGACCAAAGTTGTGGTTTATTTTCTCTTTAAAATCGAGACAACCTTTTTTCCCCTACTATTTCTCACAGTGGGATTTCAGATGATCATTATCCTGGACGTTTCTAAGGACATCTCTTAGTACCTAAACCAGTTATGTTTAAATTTTAATAATGGATTTTTAACTCCTACCTTGATAATAGGCCATCTTATTATTTTTTCACATTTCCTGATCATTTCAGAACACCAAGGATTAGGTGACAGACTGTTGAGTGTGCAGAGATTAATTCAATAGAAGAACCACCAGATTAGATCTCTCTCTCCCATCCTAAGCCATAGGATATTGTGTCTTTACAGAAATTAAGAAATTAAAGAAATTAAAAATTAAGAAATATGAAGACTGAATTCCCTATTCTGCCAAGCTCAAGTTGTTTAAGTTGCCAGTACTGGATGAGGTTTAATTAAAAGTGTGTCAGGTATCATGGAAGCATCCCATGACGCTTTGTTTCTCACTAACCATCTTCTCCAGCGTCCAGCACAGCGCTAACGCACTGGCAATTCATCCAGAATTTTTATAGAGTACAAGTCACTTTCATACGGTGCTAAAGTAATCTTGAATTTGGGCTGTACGGTCAGGTGTGTCTAACCAGCTCCATCTGTGCCACATTTGGGCAAGAAATGCCCCTGCAACCTGCATACTGGTCAGGACATTGACAACCTTCCCCAGAAATCTGACAAGGGTCAGAGGTAGGTTGGATTTTTGTGGACATTTCCTGCTGTGGGTTTTTTTGGTTTTTTTTCGTTTTGTAAGAAAAATAAATCCATGATGCAGTAAAGCATGCCTTGCACTTGTCAAGGAAGATAAGGTGCACGTGCACTGTGATGTTCTGTTCACCTTGCAGCTTATTCCACTGTCGTGCTAGTCCTGCAGAAAGCACCATCATCTCCCAAACAGTCTTTGTCAAGAATGCTTAATTTTTGCTGAGAGGGGACAGCTGCCTGGAGCTTTAGTAAACGTTCAGGAATACTGGACCGAGGCTATTGAACATGCTCAAAATATGGGGGATCGATCTCTGTAAAGGAGTTTGAATTTTTTGCTCCATGGTTTCAGTTCTACTGTTCAAGGAACTAGTATCTTCCCTCTATATAAGGAAAAAATTAAGTGTTGAGGCACACAAACCAAGCATTTGGAAAGAACTGGATAGCTGAAAGCCCAGAGTTGAACAAGTAACAGACTTCACGCTAATCTAAAAAATAAATTTAAATATTAAACATGCCATCCACAACACAGAAGTTCCTTTTTTCTCTCTCTAGCTCATCAGCTAAATTGAATGACACTTAGATTTTTAAGACTGCATCCTTGGTTGAGACATTTCCTTTTTTAAGGGAGCTCTACCCGTTAAGAATACTACACAATACACTTGCTGCACAACTAATCTCAGTTAAGAAATGGAAAAATCAGTACTAATTAGTATTAGAAAACAATGATCACTTTAGAATCAGTTAATTCAAGCATATCTTGGTTGAACTTTTACACTATTGTGTTTCAAGTATCCTGATAGCTGGTATGTTTACCACAACAAAGGAAAATGATTAAAATTCACTACATAAATACAAAATACAATAAAAGTGGAAAGTGATTATCTTATTTTCCTCAAAGTACAAAGATTAGGGAGCACTCAAAAGAATTACCACAGTATGTACTGCTATTAAGTTAATCTTGTTCAGGCCCATACTCTTCTAAAATCAATAAAGGGAAAAGAAGTGGCCAGCAGACAAAGGAGAGAGAAGTCAGAGTCACAGAATATTCTGAGCTGGAAGGGACTAACAGGGATCTTCAAGTCCAGCTCTTAAATGAAAGGCCCATACAGGGATTGAATCCATGACCTCGGCATTATGAGCACCAGGCTGTAACCAACTGAGGTAATCTCAGTGCAGGCTTAAATGAGATTAATGCACCTATAATCCACTTGCTCTAAGAACGTATCTTCAAGTACTGAGCTCATGTACTGGGTTAAGCCTACAAGGGATGGCATCATCTGGCTGATTCCAAGTCAGATTTCAGGCAGTACTGCAGATGTTTTATAAGTGGAACACAAGTCAATTGGCTCACTGAGTAACCCAACATTTGTTGAATATGCATTCACTGAATTATTACAAAATTCTTAATCACATAGTTAAGAAACATAAAAAGCCTAGATATATTTTATCTTTAGATTTATTATTTCAGAGGCACTTAATGTCTTACATTTATATAGCGCCATTTCCCCCTCCAAAACACTTTACAGTATTTACACACAGGAATGTTTCCCACCACTGTTGAAATGCAGCCATCTGACTACTACCAGTACCGTCTTCAAAGCACCAACAGTTTGAGACTGAAAGTATTCATCAGTATTTTGTCTTACCAAGATAGTGCAGAATTCCAATTTACAAACTTCCAGCTTGTGCTATTAAAGAAACATAACAACTAAAATACAGTATCACAGTGCAATTCTGCAACAGAACTGAGACTTGGATCATTTTCATTAGAGTTTTTACAATCTTCCATTAGATCAAGTCTATCTCAAACACTTTAGTGTAAGGCCTTTTAAGAATATAATTCTAAAACATCATTCTTTTTTATACTTTCTTTATAAGTCTTTCTTACAATCGAGCACAGAATAATATTTTTCTTTCCTTCCAGTATGTTTAGAAACACTAAGTTCTGGCCCTAAGGAGATACCAGCATCCTCAGTTTCAACAAACTTCATGGCATCTAAAGGCAAACCTATTCCTCCTCGGTTTTGGAGATGGATTTTAGTTTGTTTGTTTGTTGTTAGTTTTAAAAATAAGAGATTACACAAAATTCTGTTATAACCAGTTAAATTGTAAAGTACAATTGGGACTGGCTGCTGGGGGGCTATGTGAGTGTGCTGTGTGTGGTTTTGCTTGTCACCATTAAAAAATACATTAGAGTATCCCAAGTTTACTACTCCACTGCAAAAGACTGCCCTAATCACAAAGATCACAGCGACTTTCTCATTTTAGAGATTAATTTTAACTTTGTCTCTCCGAAAGGCTACTGAAACAGCCCTTCCAAGAGAAGCAGTTGCATCTGTGCTGAGAACTTTGACAAAATAAAACCCAACCCAAAAAAACCTCCTGACACAACAATCTACCTGGCATCCCTATTTTCATGGTTACAATTAAAAAAAGACTACGACCTCACATACAGCATGCTGCTACCTGCTACGTTACAGCTGATGTGAGAACCGAGTGAACAGGAAAAAGAGATTAGTTAAATCAGGTATCTATTCACCTTCTTGTTAAACAAGCACAAAAAATTATTCTGGTACCTTATTCTCTTGAATATGCTATACTTCACAGAGCAGCTTTTTTTGATTTTCACTGATGCATTGTACTCTGAATCTACTGTGGTGATTAGATTCTTATACCAGCATTTGAGTACTCTGAAAGAATAGTGGCAGGTAGGGGCAAGAAATGTGATAAAAGGAAAAAATATTAACACACAACAATTTCAGCATGAAAGATCATGACTAATCAAACTGGGTAAAAATTAACGATCAGCAGTGCATCCAAGTACATACCCATTTTATAAAAACTCAGGGTGGTTTTTTTAACCTAAACCCTTGATAAAAGATGCACAGAGAAGTGATGTATTGCATATTTTATGCATGCCTTCATGTAGTGCATTCCTATATTGTATCTTACATGGAACACTAAAAAACTACTAGACCTTCACTGTACAACAGGTATTGTAAATTTTTGTTTTAAAGCCTAAACTGCAATTCAGTTTGAATTATACCTTCTTATTCCCTGATCACAAAAAACACCTTGCTTCATTTATGTTTGTCAAAGTCAAATGACAACCACAGTAATCATTTGTATGGAAAAAACTGTCCCAGGAAACCATCTTAATAGTTTGGTTTCTTCACGGGGATTTGGCAGCTGCAACAAAAAAGCAGCAAGGACTAGAGATCCTTAGACAACAGCAAGAATCACTAGTAAATAATTTGTATCAGAAATCAAGAAACATCATGACAAATAAGAGAATAAACATAAAAATGAAAGCATTGCTTCTGGCTTCACAGCCCAGAAGACCAAATGGAGTACCATTATCCTTACTTTCAAATTCAGACCATAAGTAGATCTGATTTTTTGAAGAGGGAGAAAAGGAGGAACTTGGAAAAAGTAACTGCTTTAACATGTTTGAGCCCATTCTAACCTTTAGTGATTTAAGGAGAGGAATGACTAGACCCATACTCTTTTCTCTGTTTCTTCTTGTGGGAGTCATTCATTTTTTTCAGAGCTAAAAACATTCACAAGATTGTGTGATACAAATATAATCTCTTTTCTTTCCCCCTTTCTTTTGTGTGTCAGTCCTTTCCTCCCTCAGCTTCCTCTCAACTATTCATTACCACAGTATTTGTGAGAGAAAAACAGCATTTGGGGTAGGGGATGGATGAAGCTCTTGCTAAACTGGGAGGCAATGAGATTGCTGAGCTGCAGAGAGAACTGCATGGACAGACAGATGCTAAAGAGAATCCAAAACCCAGCAAAGAACAAGCTTAATTTTTTTTTTTTTTTAACCACCAGAAGGAATTAGTTTTGTCTTTTAGTTTCAGTTCATCCTTTTTCAGCAAGGGCACATTGGCTACATCACAAGGCTTGGACAACGAAAAGGCTCTTTCATTTCAGAGGGCACAGATCTGAAGATGGGACAATGTCCTGCACTGCATAAGATCACTCTGAAATATGCATAGAACAGAGCAAAAATCCAAGACTGCTTTGCAGGAACAAGAGAGGTAGCAACCCTAATTTTAACAGGGTTTTTCAGTGAAGGGAAAGAAGGTCTACAAAAGTCAAATCAGCCGATTTCAAATGGTTTGCATCCCAGGATGAATCAGGTTACACCAATTTAAGCCCAATTTAATTTAGGCAGGTTTTTAAACCACAAGAATAAGGACATTCTTAGTACATACCAATAATTAAACCAACATATACACAATTAGCAATATCCTACATCATAGTAAATGCTTAACAAGCTGGAGTAATTTTATGGTACATTTTCTGACATTCTACACACTTCCTGTAATCATCAGTCTCTGCAGCAGTTCAGTTAATGACTTTAAGATCCAAATTCCACCGTGTCTTCAGTTATTTTCTTGAACTCGTAGTTTCCTCTGCCATCCATATGCAAATAGAACTGAAAAACAAAGAATATATGTTATTAACCTCCAAAAAATTACTAGGCCTATAAAGCCCTAAATAAATTGTATTTTGAAGTAGTTTTAAAAATAAAAAAACTTCAAAAAGTTTCAGCAAAATCTTAAACTCAGCCAACCAGAGGGTAAGCTGCTTCTACTTCACGTTTCATTACATTCAACTGCCTCTATAATAACGTTAAACTGAGTCTTTTGCATATCATACATCAGTCTGCTAACAGCCACACGGACACAACACTGCTCTCTTGGGTTTTGTGACAATACACTTTGAGTTATACATTAATCCCTCTGTATTCATTCAGTATTTTAACCCACACATACAGTCTGTCTGCACAAAAAGAGTAGTAAAATCTAAAGTCTGCAAGAAAAGAAATCCACGTATTAGAGATGAACTTTTCTTTAAAGCATAGCTATATTAGGTATAGTGAAAGCAAAAAAACTCCATGCTGTTAACTGGATTCTAGTTGAAGAGGTTTTTTGAGTCTAAGAAAGAAGACCTAATCACCTAGTGAGCCTTTCATATTTTTGTAGCTACTTTTACAGATGCACAGAGGATTTTTGGATAGTGTTTCTTCATAACTAGAAGTGTAAGATTATTTCAAATAGTGAAACTGGAATATGGAAGTAAAGTCTTGAAAAAATAAACAAACAAAAAACCAAAACCAGAACATGACCTATTAGGATGACAACATCTAAAATTGCAAAGACAGTTTAATAAAGTCAGTAAAAAAACACACCCCCCAGACCTACACATATTCTGAGTAAAGTAAAGACTACATACATCATGGTGTTTCCAGAGTGACTTCCTGTGGGAAACAGTGAAGAGGGTGATGCCAACCTGTATGATGAAAATACCCAAAAAACAGTTATTTTTTTTCTCATGGGTTAGGTGTTATTTATTTTTCAGCATGACATCAGATGAAGATCTTAAATTCATAGCCACAAACTTCCAGACTATTATTAAAACTAGACATATATAGCCTTAATACAATATTTTGCAGGGGGAAAAAAGCAAACAAGGGATTTATCTTTTTTAAATGTTTTCATCATTCTTTTGCTCCTAATGATTTGTCAAACAGAATGAAAGGGGCAAAGGACGTAGGGTATGAGACAGGTAAAACAATAAACCTGTGAATAAAGAAAACCTAACAACAAAAAAACCCCTAAACCCACAAAAGCTATAATGAATTATAAACTTAGAGTGACAATTTAGAGGCGAATAATCTTGCTTTGTTTCCTTGCAACTCAGTTAACTATTCATCCCTAACAGTAGCAGCAAGGACAAAATGGCTCTGATGATAAAACAAGGTAACATTTTTGCTTTCTGCAAGGACAGCTTAACAGGGAATTCTATCTTTCAGTAACATGCATCAGCCACTTGGCAAGTACAAATGAATATTCAAGTCAACAGAATAATAAGTATATGGAAAACAGACTTAGAAACTGTCAGGATATAGATATCAGTGTGGTAAAATTAGTTCAGAAATACTGTCCCTTCTGCAGAGTCCTCACCGAGTGCCCCTTCACTACTACAGAAGGCTCCTTAAGTTTCCGCTTGTGGTTTTGAGCATGTATTTCAGTGGATGCACAGCTTTGCTATCCTGAGAATGCTGCTACTCAATAACTAATGTTATTTCAATAACTAATGTTATTTCAAGCCCATTCTTTCCCAGACTAAGGGTGTGAAATTGAATCGTGCTGATATTTCACATGGTACTACATAGAACCTGAAATGGTGAGTTGCAGAGGAAAAGGAAAAATGAAACTATATTTAATAACATCATGCTTTCCTAGAGTGCTTGGCTTTTCAAGTCTCAAAATAGATGGAAACTTCCAGCCTTTCACTTCTGTTGCCTGGCCAACAGAAAGCTTATGAACAATAAAGAAATCTAAAATCTTAGACTATTTGATCTTAACTTGATATTCTAAGACTATCTGGAAAGGTAAGGTTACTTAGCAGTTAGTAAGAGTTCTCTGTTTATCACAAAGGTTAAATGTCCATCTAAATTATCCTAAGACTACAAAACAATTACTGAATTCTAGTGTGCATAAAGTTGCATAGGATTCTAAGCCTTTATTTATTTTTTTTTTTTATTTTTAGTCTGCACTAGGCATAAGGAAGAGTGAACCTCGTATCATTTTAAGTTCCCTCTTAACACAAAGAGATATAATTCTAGAAACAAAGAGCTTACCTTTCGGCAGTGGCTGTAAATGTAGCCCTCTACATCGACACTAACAGCACTGGTGCACTCATCCAGTATTGCAAACTGGGGCTTATGATAGAATAACCTTGCCATCTGGAAAGCAAACCAGAAAAGGCTACTGTGGATACAGAACTACAACCAACAGTGCAGTGTTGGAAGTTAAACTAAAAATTAGTGTCCAAAAATGTACTACGGCAAGGGAATGAAGTTGCTACGCACTGAAACCTGAAAACCCAAGAGTTGTATATTACCTTTACTTTTTTATTGAAGATAATTGTTTTAGAACTTCTGTTTATACAATGAAAGCATGAGGTATGGTAAAAGGGTGGTATAACATTTCCTTTTAAATTTTGAGTGCAATAAACACTGTTTTCAGTTGTTTCCTCAGTATTCAGGTATTTCATGCTTTGGTGGTTTCTTATAAGTAAAATCTTAAAACGTAGTAAACAAAACTAGCTTACAATTCAGATTATATTTTTTACTTATGTTCTGCATATGTTAAACATTTATGCTTTTGAGACATACTGCCATTCTCTGTTTTTCTCCCCCGCTGAGTACATCCATCCAATCCTGAACACTATCCCAGCCTCCTTCACGTTCCAAGATTTGACCCAGCTGGACATTATCCAAGTACTCCTTCAGCACCTTTTATGGAAACAAGAATCATAAATAAAGCTTCCATGAACTTAACAAAGAAATGGTTGAAAAAGGTTATAAAGGATTAAACCATCATGTTATCCTGGTAAATATTAAAATCCAATTAAATGCAGTGTTTTAATAGCAGTTTTAGTATTTCTAAATCTGAAGCATTACTCACCCTAAGCAAGACAAAGGGTTAATGAACTAATTATCATTACCTGGTCAGAAATCCCTTTCCTTCTCTGGTCTTCCAAAGTATCTGGATATATAACTTGATCTCTGAGCGTTCCAAGAGTCATGTATGGTCTCTGAGATACAGTTAGAACCAAAGAGATATGTCAAACATTTCTAAACATGGTGAAAGGAGAAAGAGAATGCTACTGTCAGGTTAAGTACTTAGTCTCACCTGGGGAACATAGAACAACTTCCCTCTTACGGGTTTCGTTAAACGCCCACCAAACAAAGGCCACAACTGCAAAAGGAAAAAGGTTAAAACTTGACAAAAAAAGTCCAACTACAACAGTGCTTTGCATTCTCCCCCACTTGTTTTAAAAGGTTCCCTTACCTCACCAAGAACACGAAACAGTGAGCTCTTCCCACACCCATTTGGCCCACAGATCAGTACATTTGCACCAGATCTGACCTATAAATGCAAATCCAATATATTAAAATCGCAGTGAGTATGTACTGTTCAAAGCTTCTACAAGCAGTAAGACAATCCAGTATCATCATAGGCTTGTACACACATACTTTCTGACATTACAGTGAGTAATTTCCAGCAATAATTAATTTTTCCCCCAACCAGTTTAGCACCAACTGCTGGAAGATAATGCACTTGTAATAATAAAGTCTTTTTTTTGGGAAATAGCTCATTGCCTTTTCGTTAAAAACTAACAAGATGACTTGTTTGCACTTTTTTTTATAAATCTGATTACCTTTGAAGTTGTCGTCTCCACTTGAAAATTTTATATTAATATAATTTTCTATGATATTAAAAACATTACCTCAAAGTTAAGGTCTTCAATCAAAACATCTCCATTAGGTGTCACCAATGGAACATGATCAAACCTGTATGTATCACAATATTGGGGTTAAAAAAAACCAGAACAGTTGCCTAAAAGAAGTTAATACTGCATGCTTACTTCAGAGATTTATGGAACAGGGCAAGACTTCTGCAGTACTTCATTCACTCTCCCACTTTCCAACTATTAATAGCTAAGGAAGTTCTTGAACCAAAATGGTACCTTCGCATCTAAACATCTACAGGTTTGTTTTTATCCCCTTCATGTATTTGTTTTCCAAATCTTCTAAGCCTTTGGTCTCCAAAACATGTTGTGGATGTAAACATGGATTTAAGGATGCACGTCATTTTACACCTACTAGTGAAGTGTATTTCATTACTTCTAGGATATACAATGAATGACTTCTCTGCTTATCTCCCCTTGCCTTTTTTTTTAAATGAAAATAATAAAAATAGTTGTTTCATCTCCTTCCTTCTTCCCCCCTCCTACTTCCCTATCCGCTTTCCACACTGCCCAGATTGAGGTTACTTAATCTCTTTACTGGCTGTATTTTACGCCTTTAAGTAGTAATACTGTGTCAATGCCACGTTCCTCAGACTGCAAAGAATGAAGGAACTGATACACAAGTACATCAGTGAAGTCTCTGAGCATGTAGAATTACATGCAAATGTTTTGAAAATGAATACAGATTTGCACTTGATTTTTACAGCTGAAGTATATAATGGATAAAATCCATAACTAACGTATTTCTAAGAGTAAATAAAATGGTCTGGGAAGTCACATTCCAAAGGACAGCAGGAAATGTTACCCAAAAGCCTAAGTCAAGAGAGCAGTTTATGTATTCTGCTAACATGAGTGGATAACGATTGTTTTAGAATAGAAATGGTGAGTGGGCGTGAGATGGAATTACTTGTTAATAAATTAAAGTACAACAGGAATTGCAAATTGAAATAATGTGTATTCAAACCTCTATTAAGAGTCACAGAGGGGAAGACTTAAAAGCCAGTCTACATGAAAAACATTGAACTTGTGGAAAATGTTGTAAACGTACTTGATAAGGTTATCAGTGTTGATAATTTCTCCAGATCCAGGTATCAAGGACAAAGCTTGCTTTTTATCTGCATCTTAAATTAAGAAAAAAGTATTAGAGACTGGAACACTACACACATGCACATATTGCAAATTATGTCACATCTACCTTTTTCTTGTGATATCATAGTACGCTGATATTTGCCACTATTCAAGTCCTTCAGAACCTGCATTAGTTCTGTAATTCGAGCTGTAAATCTATTAAAAAAAAAAAAAGAAATCCAAAGATGAGCACTGTAGCACTGCTAAACTGTCAAATGACAAAGTTATTCAACCCAGCATAGAAACAGAATGTTTACATTTTAAAGTTGCACCAGGTTATCCAATATGCACAATATTTACAAGATCCTTTTAGTGTAACAGCCAAATTTTTTTCTTAAGATATTTTTTTAAAAGTTTGGTAAATAATCAATACATAATTGATTTAAGAACATCTGACAACGTCTTTTCAATTAAACATTTAAACTGTATGCTGCTACTACTCAGATGTGAAATAGTGGGCATAATTAGCACATCTTCAGATATGTTTTCAGCAAAAAATGTTCTTTATTTCTAGATTTTTAGGGTGTTGCAAGGAACAAAGCATATAAGTTTATTTTAATTCTACACGCACTTTCTCAAAACGAGATGAGAAACAGCAACAGAAGTTTAGGAAAGATTCTTTTACAGAACTGCTATTAAGCTTACCCAGCCAATCTCGTCATTTCACGGCCTGCTAGGACTATTCTGCCCAAAGCTTGAGACATTCTCAGTAACATTCTTCCACTTTGGTAGTAATCCTAGAATAGAAGAAAGTTTCTTTATGTGGACTAACAAAACGTAACAATCAGGAGATTGTTTTAATTCTGGTCTAGTTACCTCCAAAAGTTCTGCATGAGTACTGTTCTGATGACGAGGATCAGACAGGTTCAGAAATGGACGACTAACAACCAGGTAACCAACCACAGTGGCAAGGTCTGCAGTTTAAGAATAAATATTAAGCTACACAATAAGAAAAAAGACAATTCTCACATAAAAATTTTGGGTTTTATTTATAGAAATCCATTAGCACTGGACAAACACTTACATTTGGCAATAATTGTATCAATGAAACCCATTGAGAACCGGAACAGGATAAAATTATGCAAGTGTTCCACCTAGTAAGGTACAGAAGAAAAAGTTCACACTATGCCAGTACTTGTTTTACTATCTTCTATTATTTTACAGACATTTGATTCCAAACAGTTATTTTTCAGTGAGTCAGATACCTCAACACACCTCTAACTGTGACAAGCACTGCACAAGAGTGCCTGCTGGTAAAGACTTGCCCTTGACATCAAAACAACCTAAACACAAAACTAAATAGTGAGCACAGTAATTGTGGTGGGTGAAAAGGAGGTAAGTGGCAAGAGGAAGACCACTCTACCAAGATCATGTGTTCTCCTTATAGGCTTCTAGTTTATTTTTTAATTTAGTGACTGCAGCAGCAAAACCACCAAGCCACTATAATTCCATGTCTATGAATACATGTCAAGAATCACCACAATAGAATTAGAGCATTTTAAGCAAAACTTCAACTAAGAGATGAAAGACTTACCAGCTTACGGAAGGTTCTGTGAATAGTCTGTTTTTCCCTCAGGTTTCCATTATAAAAAGCAATTTCTTCACTAAAAAGAAACAAATGAAAAGAAGGTTACTTCCTTTTGTTAAAGACAGTCTTTGAAAAAAGCCATGAAACACAGGAATAGAGGGCTTTCAGCTACCTTATGAATTAAGGGTTTGTACTTTTTCATAACAGTAGAACATAAACTTATTACACCCCAGCTACAATTAAGTCTCGATTATGGAATTTAATGCACATACAAATTACTTTATAATAATCTGCATAAAGATGCAAACAGTTGGCTCAGAACTGATAGCATCAGGCTTCCCCAAATATATTTTAATGCACAGCTTCTATTTACCCCACATTATGGTCACTCACATCTTGCCACCCAAGTAAATCTTTACCTGTTTGTAATGAGACGTGAGTTGACATATCTGTACTCCCCTTCATATTTTTGTTCTATAATAGTCATCTTGCCAATTGGTCTCCTTAAACGTGTAAGGAAAAACCCTGAAATAATCAAGTAGGCCATCATGCTAGCTGGACCCTGTGAACAGCAAAAGAGAATAAAAGCTTACCATCTAGATGGTCTCAAACAGAAACACATATACCCAGAAAGCATTCATCCCTTCATTCTTACCTCCTATGTACCTTGTTACCAATTCAACTACATTCACAATTCCCATCATATTCCCATCTTTGGTGTTGTGATACTGCTTTATGAATTTTATTAATTCTCTGTCCCTAGAATTCCTTCCTATCCCAGCCTTCTACTCAAGTTTTTATTACCATCCAGTGTGATCTCTGCATTCTACTGTCTTAGCTTTTTTCATTAATCATTTCCTGGTCCTCTCTCATTTCCTCTCCTTTCTATCTACTTCTTTGTCTCTATGTTTACTACACTGCCATAGGAGTCAATACTTCAATCCCATTCTCTTCTTTGATCTGTACATCTCCAACACATTTCCTGGTTCTCTCCAGCAGTCCTGGCAGGAACCTCTTATTCTTCTGGATCCTAAGCTTCCATAGACCAGGGTTCCCATGCTTAAATATCACTGAAGTGTGGAATGGCATAAACTGCCTGTAGTAACTACTACAGACAGCAATGCAAAGACACGTGAGACTGGAAAAGTTACGTAGGTTCATTTAATCCTTACTGCAAGACTGTCTCAACAAAATCTGCATGATGTGTCCCAGAGCTGCTGCTTCTCAGCTCCCGAACATTCCTGATAACGCACCACTTCACTAAGCTGAAGAACTGTTTCTGAAATGATTCAGCTTATTGGTGGGAGGGAGGCGAGAATACAACAGTCATACAGCACAATGCAAGAAATGGTTCCCCTTTATAGAGGTCACACAGAAAGAGAAAACTTATTTTTGCCTGTAAATGGAATTCATGCAAGACACAAGCAGTCAGAATAGTACTGTACTAAATGGGATTTTCAAATAAATGCTAGAAGAAAATAAAGAACTTTCTTGTTTCTTCAAGTTCTGTAACAAATGCCTACAAACTCTGGGTTTTATTTTTCTTGCCTCCAAATTGAGCACACTAAAGCATACAAAACATTAAGTGTGAATGCATATTTTCAGTATATCCCTTCAAATAATGGATGAATCTATAATTACCACTTGAGTTTTCCTTAGAGTCCAAACAGGTCTATACAAGGCGACAAGTAAAGAAGGGAAAATGTACTTGTAATTCTAAAAAACCCACTCAATTTACCTGTGCTCCTATAGCACTTGTTAGCTTGAAGATATACAAAACTATATCCAAGAAGGGCTGTAAGAGAAGCAGAGGAAAAAAAGCCTTAGAACACAAAACTAATACAAAATGGTACAGAAACCACACACCACTCCAAGAATAGTTACAGCTCTGCATTATAAGCACAATACTGGTTAACCTATTACACAAACTAAAAGATAAAACAAGAGCAATCTCAGCCACACGACTTTTCCTTGGTTTTCTTCCAAAAGCTAACTAACTGAGAAAGGAAATTCATCACTCTTTAACCGCAAAAGAGTGCAACAAATTATTTAAAAGAAAATTTAATAAAAATGATAACAACTCACAAACATTGCTTTGGTCATGAAAATCACAGAGTGTGAAATAATATAATAAGGAATTTTTTTTCATACCATATTCCAAGCAACCCATATAAAAACATACACAATTGTTTTGAGCTGACACCACATCCTAAAAGTCTACAGCTATTAGTCAAAGTTCTCTCTGGGAAGACTTACCTTGCTAAGGTTTGAGTACAGGTCCACTACACTGTTACAGAATTTTTCCACATCCTGTGTAAGGAGTTGATCTGGATTAGCTATTCTGTTGTCCAGATTTCCCATTTTGTAGTACGTATAAGCTCTGAAACAAAGCAATAGCTAAGCAGCAGGAAAAAAATCATTATCTGGGATCTGAAATAACTGGAACCCCCTTGCTTCATACCACTTAGATGGAAAGAAGGGCAAACATTAAATGACTGTATGGAGTCAACAAAGCTCGTGCTTCTGCCTGACCAAATCTACATTAAATCCTGCAGGGTTGTTTAGGCTCCAGGATGTCTTAGTAAAAGCTCAGGCCCATATTGCTATTGAACTTAGCTAGAAAATGCTCACAAATTCTGCTTCAGCACATCTGACAACCAAAAGTCAGTGCAGAAGGACAGAAGGAGCTACTCCAGCTCATGCAACCAATCCAGTCTGCACTAAATGAAAGGAACTGAAGTACATTGGAAGCTGACCCAATCAATCTTGGAAGCAGTATGGTGCCTTTCCCCACCCCCCAACTGAGCCAAATTTGCTGTCTTGATATCTGTTCCATATACAACCCAGACAGGCCACTTATCCTCAACTGCAACTTAACTGAAACCAAAAGCCTTTTCTGAGCAATGTACCTAACCTATTAAGCACCTTGCTACCTTCTTACAGTATAATTAGAATTATTTGAACCAATTTTAAAAAACTTTATACTATAGGTTAACAAGGTGTTACTTACTTGAGATATTCCTCATAGAGGTATCTGGTAAGTCTTACTCGGAAACAAAGTTTCAGTTCATTTAGACCATACTTCAGGAAGTTATTCACTAAAGAGATCTAAAATAAAGGACAGTATTTCAATATTTAGCTAACACAATTCAATATACTTACATCAGTTTGCAGCATAAGATGTGTAAACACTTTAGAATAGGTGAATTCTTCTCTTAAAGTCAGTAATACCACTAATACACCAAAGACCAACCTAATCTATTGCTTAGGTTTCTGTCTCCAGTTCCCAGTAGCTCTTACCATTTAAAAAGATAAAATTATGGTCATATACCGTATTTTCAGCTCTTCTGGTAAGATCTAGAAAAGATTCACCATTTTGAAAACAATTCCCTTAAATTTATCAATTCCTTTTTAAATCTATTGCAAACCGGGTACATTATCTATTGGACAGTAACAATTATTTCTATCTGGTGCAGGTCAGAGATGTCAACAAGCTGAAGTAAAGTCAAAGGGTTGGAAAACACATAACAAATCTGTGAAAAAGGTAAGAATTACAAAAATTAAAGACTAAAAAGAAATCTTCATCTTCAATCACGACAAAAGAATCCCAAATACTGAAACATAACCCAATCCATAAGATGTTGCATGGGACATTAAGCTGTAGTCAAAATTTCCATCAATAAAATCAACGTAAAAATCTAAACATATCTGTTAGAAAAATAGTTGTGACCCATAAGGAAACATGCTGATAAAGTCTCCCACTGCAGTCAGAAAATTAAATGCGTCTTAATACAGACATGCATGTAAAACAACTCATTTCCATGAGTTTTAAGGCACTCCTGTGAGATTTTTCCTCAATTTCTTAATTTACTTTTAAAATGTGTTCTGCTAAAGGGTCAGAAGAAGTAGAGCACTTACAGCGGGCATTGCGGCAATGAAGTTGAACAAGTATTTCTTGAAATCCTTCCTGCTGCGGCCAATGATAGCACTGTAAATGACCACCAGCTAAGAGTCAGTTACAAGAGAAACAGCACTCTTAAGTGGATAAGTTCTCAGAGGACTACACAGAGAAAGAAAATCATCATGGAAAACTGTAGTATCAGCTGTAGGGTCCAGTCTGACACACTTGTGTAAGTTACGTGGCAGGTGACAGACTCAAGTTCCCTCCCTTCTGCTCCTGCCAGAACTGCCCACATTAAGGGCTCAGAAATTCATGGTCAGAGAATACCAGTTCTTTCTTTCTCTGCTTTCACAGATTCCCACACAAGAAACAAAGCAGTCCTTCCAGTCTACAGATCACTAAATGTCTCTCCTGAAACACAGTATCATTTTGAATTCACACTTCAAAACACATTCTGACTTGCTTCAATTAGTAATGAGACCAACATGAATAATCAGAGGTCTAAAAACACTTTCTAACACAGAAAGACTGAAAGCATTTTTTTATCAATCTAAAGAGCAAACAGGTCAGTAGGAAGAAATAAGTCCTAATATCCACATAACATGTCTAAGTCCATGACATTATGCCACCATTCTGAAGTGCCTTCTTAGATGTTTATATCAACAAGATTTAAAGTCTTCAGTGTACAAAATGTGACCAAAAGAATATTTAATAAACAATTTTAAAAGAATAATTTAATAAAATAATTTTATTTTTAAAATGGTATAATTTTCTGTTTTAAACAAGCAAGTTGTAAAATGTCTGAATACACATTCTGACAGACTACCTTCCCTGTTAAACACAAGAAAGAATGTTTAAAATTAACAAACATATAGGTACCTTTCAATGACTGTTCCATTCTGAATCATCCAAATATCACAGTAAGTGCGGACTACCAGCATCACAGCAATAAGCAGCAAATAACCTGTCTGGTACAACCACAGAAATGTAACAGTTAAACAATGGATAAAATGCACCTTTTTTTCCAGTAAGTACTCCTACAATACCTAGCAGAAATGTATTTCCATACTGCCTCCACCTAATGTAATACTTGTTTACTTTGCAGGAAACACATTAGCATACAATGTTCTTAATAAAGTACTGAATACATTTTTATGGAGAAAGTTTGTCTTTTAAAAAGCTATATTTGGTCGATACCTATACTGGACACACCCTTTAGGATTAAGGATTTTAGGGATAAAGAAGTTACTGCTATTCTGACACCTTTCTGCCATAAGGTTGCAAAAGACCTCTGAAAACTACCTACTCCAACTCCCCACACAAAACAGGGCCACAAGTAAGCAGGCACCAGTCAGACCTTGTAGCATTGATTGGAAAACCTTTCAGCCCAACAGTCCAGTCAGTTTTCCACCCACCACTTCACTGTCCACTCATCCAGCCAATTCAGTTTGGCTATCTGGGTACTAAGAGAGACCTTAGAGTCAAAGTCTCACCAAAATCAAAATAAGTACTCAACATTTTCTGTTCTTCTCTTATCCACAGAGCCATTTGTCTCATCACTGAGAGCAATCAGGTAAGGCATGATCTGCCATTGGTAAATCCAGGCTGGCTGCTTGCAATCACTTTTTTGTCCTTTGTGTGGCCAGAGTTAGCTTCCAGGAGAATTTGCTCCCAGCCTTACTAGGAATACAGCAAGCCTGAGCAGCCTGTAGCTTCCATTACATTTGTTTTCAAATATGGGAGCCGTATTTGGGTTTTGGGGGGGATTATCAGTAACCTCTTCTGAAGGCCATGAGCTTCTGGAGTTGATGAAGTCCAGCTCTGTGAGCACTCTCACAGGCATTCCCATCCATGCTTCTGCCTTCCATGTACTTTCTTTTTGTAAATGAGCTGTTGAGGGTCCCTATTTGTGCACTGCAGTCAATGCTTACCTCTTTGCAAAGTGTTCTAGGGACCATTATTTTCAGGATTCGACATATTCTTGCAATAAACACTCTGTCCACCATTGCTCGCTCCTTCTTTCCCTCTTTCTGCTGCACATAGAACAAGCAAAATAAGAAAGGTGAGATTTTTTTTGGTAATAAATATTATTTAACTGCTCATGTGATATTTTCCTATCCAAGTTATTTACTGCTACCTTCCTTCTGGAGCATTTGCAATATTTCCTTCCAACTCGCTCCGACAAATTAAATAAAATGTAAGAACTGGGAAATATCAAAACAAACTGCAGAAGGAAGTAGCTGCCATGATACAAAATACTTTTTATTTCAAATCTATTCTAAGGGTGACATACAAACAATGCACACCACAGCACTAAAACATCCAACTTACAAGTTGTAATGCAATCTACCATCTCTTAACATTGCTTGTCTCTAGAAGACACCATCAGACAGTATTCTTAAAAATGCCTTCCAACATCTGTCTAGACAATCAATGGTTTAAACTCCTTGGCTGAACAGCCCAAATCTGCTTCAAGGGCAACCAGAATTTCTTATTCCTTTACTTCTACAAAACAGTGCAACACACTCCTAGTGAGCTAAATCTACCAGATGTAAAAACCCTCCTGGCACTCAAGCACCTTTTATTTGGGTCAGTTGCACCTGTTCACTCCATATAACCCCATCTTCTATCCTGACTAACCTGAATACTTTTTAAAAGCTAATGGTGCAAGTATTTCTTGTTTTTCTCATTTGTTTTCTTTCTTTTCTTTCACACAAGGATGTGACAGAAGAATTTGGTCCTGAAAAACTTATCAAGAGGGCACACATGTATTTCAAACAAGTCCTGTCTAATCAGCCTAATCCTGCTATCTTTGCTACCCAAGGCTCATGTGAAGCATGTTATCAATGCCTATATCAATACTACAAGCTAGACAAGAAACCTCAAAGAAAAAAAATTCACTCTGAATGCTTTGTGAATAACCCTACACCTGTTTTTCACAGGATGAAGTCAACTATAGTCCCAACCCTTATCAAAAAACGATGTCAACAACAACTACAAATAAAAATTCTAGCCATCTATGTGGTAGATGATTAAAACATTTTATTTAAAAGTTATTTACACAAAAATCCAAGCAATTCAAACAACTAAAGACTACTGTGCAGGCCTGTTGAAGGATGATCCTACATATGTTACTGCTTTTCCATAATAGAAACGACAAACACAATGTCTGATGTGCTACACTTCAAGAGAGTACCTGACTAAACATATTGAATGCATAACTTGAACCTGTTCTTCCTCTGTGCTCAGCTCTTCCCCATTTCTATTTCTGTGTTGCACTTATATTCATTCCAGTATCTCCTTTCCCAGAAGTTTGTTTTTTCCCCTTAGACTGTTAATTCCTCATTCAGTATAATTGTATCCAAGATGGGTAGGAATAAGAGAAAGCTAGTTAAGGTTTTTACAAACAGGTATAGCTAAGCAGAAGACAAGTTTATGGCAGATAACACATTCCAGGTGTGCCTAGAAGCTTACATGATGCTTGCATACACCTTCAGATTTATCCAGTGCAAGCCTTTTCTTAAGTTTTCAGCAAAAGATGAAAGTACATGAAAGCTATTCATACCATCATAAGAGCCAATACTTCTAGTCATGGGCTTTGCCCTTTGGTCTGTCATATTTTATTTGAATATAAATCAGTAAATTTGGTTTAAAGGGATATATGATAAGCTAATTAAAAAACATACAGAAGATCGGGGATATGCCAAACCTCCTAGAGAAGTTTGAAGTAGTTTCTAGAAACTGACAGACTCTACATCTTGTTCCTTGCTTTTTCTTTTAAATAAAATATAAATACAAGTTATACTAAATGTACACACAGCTGCTTGTTGGTATACATACAGATAAACTTACAACACTAGTCCTTACACTCGTAAGGCATTATGAGATAAAAAAGCACATGGTACATATCAAGTGCATGTCATTATGGAGCCAAACTTCAGCCTCTTGTGATTCACCTGATTCTTCCATTTGTTTGTTTCACCAATGCAAGTCTGAAAGTATCATTCAAGCAGCATTTGCACCATAGCCATCATTCTTTCAGTCCAAAATTAAACTACAATGATAGGACTTAAAAGTTTTTAAAAATCAGATTTATTTTAAGTCGTTAAAGAATGTATGACATGAAAAAAGAATTACCTCATTGTTCTGCAGTGCTTGTTTTCCACTTCTTTTACTGTAAAGGGAAGAAGAAAATTATTTTACTTGTTACTAACACACTTTTCTTTGTCTTCATCTCTACACAGAAAAGAAAGCTCGGGATTAAATCTCTATTTCTTTCAAAGCAATACAGTGCCTTCAGCAGGGCTACCTTTTATGTCAAACCTATGTGCTGCTTTTTTACAATTTCAGTGAAACCTTACTCCTGACAGTAACCAGTTTCATGTAGGGAAACTAAGCCTCAGTCTTTCATCTCAGAGTTCTGTTTTATCTTGGCTCTGTATCATGAACTCCAAGTGTTTTTATGTTTCTCACATATACTTTACAAGCATGGCTACATGGTTCTACCAACCACAAATGAAAACTACAGGAATGCAGATTCAGCAATCCAAGCAACTCGACTTTGATGTTTCCACATGATCTACATAAGCCAAACAGATTTGTCTGCATTGTATTTGACTTTCAAATAATGCATTTTACTATATATTGAGATTATTTGTTCGTAAACATATGCTGCAGGGGAAAAAAGTCAGACCTGTGAAACCAAGTTTCTGCAAGGGTGTGCATTGGAAGGGAAGCTAGTTTTATTCTGTCCATTCTCCTTCCCCTGCATTTTACAGAACAGTTAGAAGAAAAATATTTACCAACTAGTGCTAAACAAACATCCAAAAGCACAGTGATATTCTTTTTCCTCTGATTTTAAGAAAGACAAGCTGACATATAAGACAGTTATAGTTGGTCCTTCTCCCTTTTGGAACACTCAAGCATCAGACAAGCACATGAAGCTGTTGGGAGAGTATGTGTTTATGTAGTTTAAAACTGACAGCTAACCATATAAATGGTAACTTACCATTTCTCAACCATGATACTAAAACACTGAGAGCAGGCTGCCTCAAAACTACAATATTCATACACTTTCAAGGCAGCACCTCAAATCATAAGGAAGCAGAAACTATGAAAGGCACTGCTCCCACCGGCCTACAACATCAAAACAACTGCAGACTGCCACACAACCTGCTATCCCACAACTTCATCAACAGCACCATTTCACACTTGTGCTTTAAAGCTCTGTGAAGAAAATATCTAGAATGAAACCATGCCTATTCTAATTTATGATGAGAAAGATCTATGAATGTCTGACCAATGAATAGAAATAATTACTATGAAAGGAAGAGGCAAGGTAGTTGGCGAATATGAGAAAAGAAGGGAAGGAGAAGACCATGAAATCAAGTAGGGAGAGACGCCAGTTTAGCAAGAACTTAATTAAAGGTATCAGAGAGACAGAAGCCTGAGAGAAGATAAAAATCCTGTAGGACTACTTGTATAAAAGACAAAATAAAGAACATGAAGGGCAATAGAGGGCAGTTTGGGGGAGAAATAACTTAATAGAAGTTCAGAAGAGATATAACATTTAATCAGTCTGTGATGGAAGTACATCTATGGAAATGGTAATGGTGTGCAACGTCCAAGACAACAATCTAGTAAGAGACTGCATCCTGGTGACAGAAGAGCAACATACTGCTGTAACAAGAAACTTCTCAATACATCTTGTAATTTTTCAAAGTAGAAAAAGTTGACCCATATTTTTAAAAGTGTCCTTGAATATGGATCATTTCAATCATATCTGGTTTGGCACTAGGAGAAAAGCAGTATTCTTAAGCACGAATAACTAGTTATCAAATTATGTGGTTGTTTCACTAGATGATTCATGACTTGCCATAAAGCAAAATGAAAGCATGATGCTCTCCCAGACATGCTATAATAACTCCTATAAGCTTTGTTGCTTCAAGCCCTGCCAATGTTTGAAGTCACAACACTCGTAATACACAACTATTTCAACTTTAAAAGGATCAGAAGGGACTATATTAATATATTAATCTATTAAGAAGATAAGGCCCAGAATTATTCTGGTAGTTAGTTGAATATCTTTGATCTATTTATTGATATATTTTTCCTACAGCAGCTGTTGAGAGAAATTGAGCAGTTGAAACTACTGAGCTGGAGCTGATTATCCATTAAAGAGAAAGAAGGATTGTTCAGAAATCATAATCTCACATTTCATTGCGAACTCACATTTAATTAGAATTTATATTATATTTATAAAGTTTAAGAAATTAGGTGTTTGTAAATTTAAAACCTAATGAAAAACTTTAACAGAGTTTTGTTCTCTTTTTTTCTACAAAAAAATTGTGCAAGCTCAAAACGAGACTGATACTTCAAAAGCAAAGGAAACAATCTTATTTATGAAGTCTAGAAAAAAAAAAGTGCCTAAATAGCTCTAATGTGTCTCTTGCTAATAAAAAAATAATAAGCCATTGTTATTTTAACAGGTAAAAATATCTTACTTGCAACAAAAGACTGGGCTATAGTTCTGTCTGGAATAAAAACTTACACCAGCTGATTACTACAAAACTCTTCCTTCTCCAGAGCCTCATTTTTTCAGTCTGATACCTACTGGCACTACTCCAGACTCCATTCCACTATTGTAGAACTTCTTCGTGAGGATTGTGGTTGCATTCTCATTGAATTTAAAGACTGAATAACATCCTCAATTACTCAGCAAGAATACAGCAAGACTATCTGGTTACAGCAGAGAGCTAGCTCTAACATTTGGAATAGATTCAAGCTCTCTATTATTCCAGACCTCTCATTTACTTAATGCTGGAGCGTCACAAGTCTTACTGGTGGAGGAAGGTGAGTGCTACTTGCTGGCCAAATTCTCTACTACAGATAACTCCTCTGGTATAAGGGCCATTGTTCCTTTATGCCCTCGCAGACAAGAAGGGGTGGTGATGAAGAGTTTCTTAAAAAGGGTTACCCAGACAATACATAGAAAAAAAGAAGAAAAAACACAGTGCTAAAACATTTCTAACACTGAGTCAAAAACTCTAGAATTTGTCATCAGATATTTTCAAGATACAACTGTATAAAGCCCTCAAAAAACCAGTCTGAATTCAATGCGGATCCTGCTTTGAGCAGACACTTAGATTAAGTGACTTCTTGAGACACCTTCTTTCCTAAGTGACTTTTAAAATGGAATAAAAAAGTAAAACATTTTTAAGAACATGAAGAGGCTAGAGGTATAATGGTATAGAGATATAATAATATCAGCTGAAGAAGTTTCAGGAAAAGCAGCATCTGAGATGTAGCCTGCTATCCATTATTTAATTGCACACAGCTTTTACAGCAAACAGCGTAAAAGCAGAGAAAGATATCAGCAGTAATGAGATGACACAACTAGATCAAACTTGTCATTCATACATGCATGGTAAATAAATAGCAACTCACTATAGATTAGTAAATAGACAAGTAATTACCCAATAGACAGTAGGCAATACAACAAAACACCTTTCTCCAACACTGAGATGTTGGAGATGATCAGCCCAAACCAGCGAGATGTTTCAAAGAAACTAAGAAAGAGTTTCCGGACTCTGTACTGGCATTTGACAGCTGATCCAACTTGAAGGACAGCAGTGTAGCACAGGGGGGAGGCAGAAAACTTGGTAATACCATGAAATTTCAGTCTCCAAATAAGTATTGGTCACAGCACTCAGTCTTTTGACTCTTTACAGTGAGGTTATCCTCTCCAAAGAAACATGCAACAGTACTGGTTACTCAAAAAGGATCATTCTCGACACCACTGAAGAAGAAACTGCAAAAAGTCTTAGAGGCCACTGAGTCTGCTTACCAAAAGGCCTCAGGTATACTAGTTCTGTGGTATTTATCAGCAAACAGGAAAAAGTTAAAGAATTACTGTCTTTAGAAATACCCGTCTCCATCCAGAACAAAGTTCAGAGGAAGCAATCTACACTGAGCTAAGCCTAACAAGGAATCAAGATGGGAGTGATAAGCAAGACTTCCAGTTTAAGACATGTGAAGAGGAAATAAGGGCTTGAAAAAGTTGTGTTGTCCTTAACTGAAAAACACCTACAAATTTCAGGTCTTGCTACCTTCCTTCTGTAGAGTAGGATGACTAGTTTCTGCTCAACACAGTGCAAAGGAAGAATATCTGTTTCAGGATAAAGTGTAGCATTTCAAAGACTTGTTACCTATAGGCAACCTTCGTATTCTTCAGACCTTACATTCTGGAATGGCACTGGGCATTTTTCACAGCTTAAAAAAAAAACACACAACGTAAATGATTTTGTAATAGTTAGTGATTATTTGTGCAGTTTCAGGTTAGTTTTACAGACAAGATAACTGCTGAGACGTTGTAAAGACAGAATAAAACTGAAATGACTAAAGACAGAATGCAACCATGTGAAGAAGTAACAGCCATCATGAGAAAAGTGTGTTACTGCTCACACTGCATACCCTGCACAGAGGAGTGCAGAGCAACAGCACAGTTATTTCAGGTCAAGGGCAGCAACCTTACTCAGAAGCCTGGGCACTGTCCAAAAGCATGCCCGTTTGCACAGAACACCCTGAGCACGCACAGAAACCAAGAGCACAATTTTCTTGGCTCTAGGTCAGTGCCTAGTCGCAGCATAACCAAAAATAATGTGAGGGGAATGTATTCAGGCAACCAAGAAGTGGACTCTGAGAAGGTCACAGACGTTTATCTCACTGCAAGCAGGAGCTCTGAGTTGCTCTGCATTGCTAAAGCTCAAAGGTTTCCTTTGAGAAGGTAACAAAGCAGAACTACTGTGGAGGACATTCTAAGTTTCAGTAGAAGAATGCATCTCAGTAACAAAGTTTACATGTAAGAAAAACCTTAGTAGTAATAATTTTGCCATAAGCTGTGCTCTGGCCTAAACTGTGGCTGTAGCTCTCCTTCATGGATAACAGTGGAAAAAGACTTCTATCCAGCTTCCTGAGAAATTAAAAAAAAATAGCTTCATGCTGTTACACTTCCACTAGATCTTGCCTTAGATAGCAAGCATTTTATGCACCTTAATGAGAGAGAAACCACTAATTAGCTACCCAGGCCCAAAACAAAGGCAGTCTAAATGCTAGGAGCAGGGGCTGAATCATCTGTTTTCTCCTGTCTCCATACCCTCCAGCTGAAGACAAGTTTTCTGAGCCCCAGGCAGGTTTTTCTACAAGACTGGATTTTAGATGCATTTTCTAGTAATCATATCTATATGTTTTGCCTTTTTTTTTCTTTAATACTAGCAGACTAAACAGTCAAACTCACATCCTGGATAAACTTACTTAAATGTAGTTAGCATAGAGTTGTTTTTGGTTTTGACACCTGTCACCTTTTACCCAAGTAACACAGGTTCCCTTTAATGATCTACATACATGAAAGAAGTCTATTAATCCACTGCAATATAATATCACCCTTACTGTCAAACAGTCATGACTCAACTAGAACAGGTCCCTTCATGTGAAATACACTAACAAGGTTTACCCAAGCATCTTCAGAATCTTAGGAAATTATGTAAACTAAGAAGTGAGAATAACATCCTAAATATACAAAAATGGAATAAAAACGTACCATTTGTTTCAAGTTACAACTACCACTTGCTATGCTCAAACTCCTGTGTTGTGATTGAAAGCTCCAACCGTTTGAACGTGTGTCTGTTACCTCCAGTACACCTGTATCAATCACTGCCCACCTGCAGGTTCACAGGCTGTGCAGGCCATGACATAAGCAGCATGACATCCACTGAGTGACATCTGCTACCCCTCTGTCAGACGAGAATGGCTGAGGAGCCCAGTGATAGGCAAGAGGAAATGTGTAAAACCTGTTTGATACACAGTGTCTACAGCTCTGTTGACCTCTCTCCACTCAAGTGAGCCTTTCCCCTTGCTTGAGCCATGTCTAACCTCTCAGGCCCCAGGTATGCACTATTCTTGCTTTATGCATTTTTCCCCTTATAGGAGGGTTGCCAAACACTTGGGTTTCAGAAGTTCAATTTTTACAAAATTGAGTCCACGTCCTAGCATCCTCTTCGATTCTAAAGGACACAGCTAAGTGATATGGAAGGCCAGTGTGTCTAGGAACAGATTCTAAAGTATTTTATTTTGTTATCTTTCCATATATTATAAATTCCTTCCTATTAATTCCATTCTGTTTATTGCCTTTCCCTAATCTTGCAATTCCAAACTCTTTACCCTAATTACCTTCTATTACTTCTTTCACTCCCTCCTTCCAGCATAAAGCTATATGAGCAAAATAACTTCTTTTTGAAAGTAATCCAAGTTCATGTGTAAGTACTTGTGTAAGTACTTTATTTTAAACTACATGGATATTTGGGAAAAATTGTCATTAGAGGCATAACGAAAAATATCCAGCTCTTTTATGTAACACCCCTCAAGGTTTTAATTCTGAAGCAATCAAATCTCATGCAAATATTCTGTTGCTTCTTGTTTGAGGCAGGATTAGGGAAAGGGAATAAACAGAATGGAGTGACTGTTTTTTCTGCATCATATACCCAGGCTAATGCAGTTTCTCAAAGAACTTCTTATGACTCTAAAAAACCCAAATACTACAATTGAAGTCATCCTTCCATTTAGATATAACAACTTCCACCCTCCCAAGAAGACAGGAAGCTTTTCTCAGGAAACAGACTTTTTGAGGAGAGCAGCTTGAATAAAGACACAACGCATTTTTCTCCATGCTTTACTCCAAGGAAGTAACATGGAAAACTAACAAGTTAGTGTAAGTGAACAGTTCTATATCATTCTACTTTGGAAGATTTCAGAAAGTTGTGGTTAAAATGTATTGTAAACTGTGACACCGTCTCTCAGTTCTGCAAAATTAATAAGCAATGTAATAGCTCTTACAGAAGAACATCTGTGACTAATCCAGCTAGTATTAATTAAGTGATCTTTGACCTACTAAGGCACGTTGGCATAACATATACAGCTTAATTATTCATACATTACTACTTGATACGAGTTGCACTGGACCTTGCCCCTACTGTTTGACAGCACAAAAGTAGGTAAAAGTTTTTACCTCTCCTTCCTCTTACCATTTCTATAACTGGTAATTCTATACTGAAATTAACACAAATACTATGAAGAGCCTGTCAGATAACTTTCTTGTTACACATTTGATTTGCTAAAAGAAGACTTTCTTTTTTTTTTTCAATTTGTACATTATTTTACTTTTCAGCTTTGAGAAGTAAGATGTCTGCATCTACTTAGCAGCAAACCTACTGCTAACATACCAGCAAAATTAAAAATGCACACAAAATAAAACAGAAAACAGCTACTCCAGGAAAACATGAAATAATAGCACATCTTATTTTGAACATAAAGTATGTATAAGTATAAACACTGAAGTGTATATTCTGAAACTATGTGAGGAATGAAGAAGTTTTGCAGGTAAAGTTGACAGCTGCCCTAGAACACTTCCATGTTAAGGCTGTTTATATTCAAGCCTGTAACATTCACCTTTGCCCTTAGGAAGCTCAAAACAAGACTTTCACCTTCCAGAATTCAAGAAGCTGAAATTCACCTCACACTAACATGACACAACATTTTCAGGCATTATATACCAATATTAACAAAGCAACTCACACATATAAAACTAAATCACCACTATTCCTCACATCTTTTATTCAGTTAACCTCAAGCAGACTACCAGTCCTCTTCCAGACTACCTGCATCGCCAAGTGAAATTCTTCTCCATAGGGATAAATGCAAAAATTGAGGACAGCCATACCCTCCCAACTTCTTGCTCTTCCCAAAGAGACAGGGAAATACAACACATAAATTAAAGGGTACACTAGGTCCTGGAGATTTTTATCATCACTGCAAAAAGGTTGTGTGCTTGTTATTATATGTCAGCATCATATACCAGCATAAGAATGCTGAAATATGTAAAGATTTGGCATGATGACATACTTTGCAAAAGTATGCTGTAATTTACATCAGCAACAAAGCATGAAGACATGAATGATACATGAACTAATGAGACTAAAGGAGGATGAGGCAACGGTAATAACCAGATGGTTTTGTCTAGGCTGGTGATATAGGCAAAGTAGCTTACCTACTGCCTAGTCTTGATAGGTAGCATTCTGTAAGGCTCCTGGCAAGGTTTGCCTCACAGGGAAACATGGAGAAAAGAACGAAGAACCAGTGGGCAAAAACCATCCTCAAAATATCATTCAAGCAGCAGCACAGCTATTATTGAAACAACCGAATGTTGGACGTTAGAGTTTGGAATCCATGGCCACAACACAGTACCACTGGCAAATAAGACCTAAGCTGTGGAGGGACTCAAAAGCATAAAGCAACACATACACACACAAGTGAAACAATCAAGTTTGCAAGCCTGGTATGTACTTTAGCAACTGCATTTCTAACAGATTTGAGAACGTAAAATAACTATAAAGAGAAGATTATAGAAGCAAGGGACAAAGGATCAGAAGGAGGAAAAGAGACAGATCAGGTCAGGCCCTCACAAGTCCATTCAACTGCTGAATTAGCTCAAACATAATTCATAAGTTATCTCCGCTTTCCAATTCTCACTAATCTTGTAATAGTGTCTGGTCCACCTAATACATATGAATGCCTCAGACTTTTAACACTGTACCTAGCAAAATTCAAGATTCACGCAGGAAGGACACATTCCACATACAGCATTAAGGCTAATGCTTACTTTCAGAACATCGACTCTCAAGCCAATATGTGCAATGCCATTGTCAAGTCCTGCAGATCAACATCAGAAGACATACAAGCAAAACAGTTTAGTGGGGACAACCCAGAATCCACAATAACATTTATTTCAGGGGTAGGAAGATTACTCTAGACAGATTCCAGCCTTCTTCTATGAAATGAATGCTACTAGTAGCAGGAATATATTAAATGCATTTCAAAACTATTCTGGACTTGCATCTATGTTTGAAGATGCGCTTCAATTTGAATGTAATCTGGTTTGTGTGCTTCAAGATCACCCCTCAATAAACGCAGAGGAAGGTAAATATGGACAATTAAGATTCACTTTAAGAGAATACTCTTGATCTGACAACACACAGATGCTCCCAGGACATCTGCATGGTCTAGTCTTTCTTACAAATAGCACTATGATACATCAGGTGGGAAGATCTCGCACTACAGTGTAACTGTCCCAGCCCATTATTTTTGTGCCCTTCCACTCAGCTTTTCTCCTTTTTTACAATAGCATTTCACTAAATTAGGCAGAGATATCTGAAAAGAATCATCCCTCTCTGTGAGTTTGACAGAGAGTAACTCCCAGCCATAGTTTGGGACCTCAAGCAAATGCATGAATTTGACATGATGTATGACATTACCCAACTTCATGAAACTCTTACAGATATCATGTATGAAACGATTTAGGTAAAATAAAACTGGATTGTTGCTTAATCACAGGTATGTTATTACAAAAGTCTGTTGAGTAAGTCCCTTTCACGAGTATCACTACAAGATACCTACTGTAATATTGTAACATACCATGTCTTTAGCATATGATCATAATCCTACAGCCAAAAATAGTGTAGAGTTGTGAAAGCATTGAGTCTGGGATATGTTCTTCATCCAGCACACTTTACGGCACCAGTGCTTTGTAGGATATTAACTAATACACACCCGAGCAGCGTACACCTGTAAAGTGATCTCACAGGGAACATCACCAGATTCGGCCTCTTTGAAACTGCTGTCCGTGTCCCTTATTGTCACACGGCTGCATTCAAACAATACCTGATGTCCACGAACTGACCATGCAGGCATGGACATCGCTATAAGTCAGCTGTTAACACTTGTTCACAGCCAGGAAAACAGAAAAAGCGAGCATAATTTGGGTAACCAGGTGGCGGTGGCTGGACTCTCGCAAGAGGGGCACCGACCTCACCCCGGGGAAAGCGGCGGGGGAGCAGCCCGAGCCCTGTGCCCGGGAGCCTCGCCGGGCAGCGGGCGGCAGCAGCGCCCCTCCGGCGGGCCCAGGGCCGGGAGGGCGAGCACAGCTCCCCCCGCCCCGGCCTCCCGGAGCCGGCCCCGCGGCTCTCGCGGCCCGGCCCGCCCCGCTCCCCGGCCCCGCTCACCCGTGCTGCGCCGCCGCCCGCCGCTTGCCGAGCAGGCAGAGCAGCGCGCAGGCGGCGGCGGCCCCGGCGATGGCGGAGTGCCGCGCCGTCAGGAACTTGCTGTAGGCGGCCATGGCGAGCGCAGCGCGGACCGCCGAGCCGAGCCGAGCCGAGCCGAGCCGAGCCGAGCAGCGCAGCCGACAGAGCAGCCGAGCGGGGGATGCCGGGAGGGGGCGGTGCCGCCCGGCCCCGCTCCGCCCGCGGGACGGGCAGCGCCGCGCCGGGTGCGGGTTGTGCAAGGGAGCCGAGGTAATTGCCGATCCCTCGCCGTTCCCTGGCACAGGGCGAGCTCCCGCCGGCCGCAGGGAAGGGGAGGGAAGCGGCCGGGCCTGCCGCCGGCTGCCCTGGCCCGAGGTCGGGTGAGGAGCCTGAGGCCGGGCCTCCCCCGGCAGCCCGCGGGTTCTCCTTCCCGGGCACCTTCGGCTCGGCACCTCCGGCCGCCGGGACTCCGGTCATTCACTGCCACGGCGGTCTTTGTACACGGTGACTCCCGAGCGCGTGTTAGGAATGACTTGTAAATGTGGTGACAATACGAAATACAAATTAGAGAAAAAAATTAAAAATTTTAAAAATTTCAGAGAAGCTTTGATGTAAGTTTTGTCACACTGCTTTGTTTTCTTCTTTGGTTGGAGTTGTTTTTTGTTAGTGCCATGAGACTGGCTGTCAGAGGATGGAATGAGTTGTCACCCATGTAAGTGCAGGAAAACAATCCCTGTTAAAGGGCAGAGCCACACCAGGTACAGCAGGAGATACCAACCAGCCTTCTCCCACAAAACCAGTTATACTTGCACAGGTGCTTTTTCCAGCAGAGCTAATAACAGGTTGCCAAGTCAAGCTATACTAGCAAAAACACCCATGCCAGCATAACTGTATTTACACTGGATCTTCCCTTGTGATCATATCCCTCAGACACCTGATAATGTGTATGAAGTGGGCGTACTTTCCATAGGAACTGGTCAGTCATATATTGAAAACCTGTATTGATATAATGGTTAACACTGACATGACAAAACAATTTATCTAATCAAACTTAAATGCAGATCAAAATGCAGTTAGAATCAATGTATCTGGTTTTGGTCTCAAAAAAATGTTTTCATTCAGGCTTTTGAAAACATTTGAATATCTTTGAATGTTGTGCTTTTGTTACTGTAGCATAAGAGTGTGCATATAGGTCAGTCCATTTATCGAATATTCTGATTTCTTCCAAGTATGTCTGCCTGGAGTAGCAGGGCTGAAGCTGCAGTTTGAGAAGTAATCCCTGGATCTTCATTCTGAATCACCACATACACTTTTCTTACTTGCTCCCTCTCCCCATCCTTGGTATCATCAGACACTTTGGGGCAAGTTTATGTTTTGATATAAAAGCTGGAGTCTCAAACCAGCTTTTCTCAACCAGCTTGGTCTCAACCCTAATTGTTAGCATTTTCTAGAGCAATAGAGTCAGGACTGCTGGCAGGACTCTGGCACTTTTTCTGTGATCTTTGACAAGTGTAATCTCCCTGCTTTATAATATTGTTGTATATTGGTGGTTTTGGCGGGTAGGGGGGATGCTAAACTATTTGAGGTGTTTCAGATCCTCAGGAAAATATACAGTAGAATCACACAGCATTAATAAATTAATTTCATTTTACAAGATAAATGTTTGTGAAAATATCTTGATTTTTAAAAAATTAAATACTTTGGAAGTAGGTAAATGGGAGAACCTAAGCAAGAGGTAGTTTCTTTATCAAAATAAACTTCTTCTGCAAGTTTTCAGGTTTATGAATCTTTGTAATACAGTTTTACTTCTACTTTTAATCTCAATATCAGCGCAGAGATAAGAGCATTATGGTACTGCTACGCTTTTCTTTACAAGTTCTCTTCCCTCTTTAAGCTTAGGTTGATTGTACCCTTGCACAGAATTTGCTATCTCATACAGTCTAACTTGTTTACTTGAAATGTCCACCAGTTTGGGCCATGCTGACCTTTGTTGTTTGCATGTCTGCATGACTCGCGTTCTGCTGTTTGTCTCCTTCAGTGTCCTTATCCCACTTTCTGACACTAGCCAATACCATGTCCTACTACATATTTTATTTCTCTTCTAACTCGTCAGTAAATAGTTTCACATATCATCTTCTAAGAAACTTGCCTCGTGCATCCAACCCTCCACTGTGTCTTCTGCTGCCTCCACTCTTGGAAGTTGGGTTCTTTTCAGAATAACTTTGTTAGCATGATTGATAAATGGGCACTTAGTCCAAAACATGAGGTTTTTATTGATCCATTATTTCATCAGTTTCCAACAGCACTCATGGCTAAGCATATCCTTGATAAATTGACATACACTGATCAAATGCTTTTGTGATACAAGCTCCTTTTTTTGTCTTGAATTTGAGATCTGCTGCATTTCCATGCTTTATACATTGCAGCCATCTTGCTTTCTTGGTATTCTTGGTACTAGTCAACTGTGAGGCTTTTCCAAGGTAGCAGATAAGAGCGACATTAATTCAAATGTATCTCCAATGTAAAAGCTAGAGGTGGGACAGTAGCTTGGAAGAAACAAACCATAGCATCTCTGTCACCTGTCTTACTAATACTGTGTGTAGTTTCTCTGAAAAAGCAAGGTCAAATTGACAACTGTCCTTTTAAAACTTCTTACTAGCTGTGTAGGAACATCCATAGAAAGCAAGCTATTTAAATGAGAAAGTGTACTCTGGAAGACTGAAGCCTGTAGGAAGAAAGATGCATATTTACTATTAAAGCCTTAAATCCCCTAATGGACATCATGAGGCCTCATAATATCAAGGGTTAGGCTGTGGTCCTGTGTCTGAAGTGTTAAGTAAGCAGTGTTATCTTCATAAGTAGTTCTTCCATATCCCAATTTAAAAAACAGAGTCTGATTAATAAAAAGCAGTAATAAAATTCCTAAAGAGTTGAGATTCTCAGTTCATGTCCTCAGCCAATCTTGCTTTTAGACCCTTGAGTCAAATTCAGAAATATAAGAAATTGTTATGGAGCAAATATTTTGTCCTACTAATAGTTATGTGAATACATTTTTTAATGGAGTCTAGGTTACCAAATAAGATGCTCTGATTTGGTTTCTCCCAGAACAGGAAGAACCTGTATTATTTGCTGTTGGCACTTGGCATACAACACCCAACTATATTTTGAGAACATGTCATCTAATAACTAAATGAAAAATCTTGTTGTTTATTGTAGGTCCAATGTAACATATATTAATATCATGGAGAGCAATTTACAAATGTTGTGAAAGGTGGCAGAAGAATGAGATTACTTTATGTAAGTTGAGGTAAACTGTAAGATGCAAACTTTGTATTGTGTATGTTAGTTAAGTTTGAAGGTGATTTGTGTAGTGCTGGACTCCATTCCATAGACTTAGATTTGCTTAATTTTTAAGTCTGTATCAATTTGGTAGGATTGTTCACTTGTTTAATGTTAAGTAATGATATTGAAAACTTAATAACTAGCGGAGCAAGAAGGAAAGTTCCAGGAATTGATGTGGTCTCTTTTGTGAAATCTGTGTTATCTTCTAGTTATATCTCTTAGTTGTAGAACCTGGCATCGTTTGCAGGGAAATTAATGAACTTCTCTGTTAATGCAGTCATCAGCATTAGGTGATAAGGTTTTTTCATTCTACTGAAGTGCTGTATCAGAGTATTAACTTTGTT